ACAGGGAGACCTTGTCTCAAAAAGCTGCCCCCCCCCACCAAAAAGAGTGAAAATAGTATTTTTTATTTTATTATTTTATTTTTATATTTTATGTATATGAGTGTATTGCCTGCATGTGTGTAAGTACACCCATGTCATGCAATGCCCTTGGAGGTCAGAAGAAGGTGTCGATCCCCTGGAACTGGAGTTACAGACAATTGTTAGCTGCCATATAGGTGATGTGGGTTCTGGGACTCAAACCCCAGTCCTCTGCAAAGGCAGTCAATGCTCTTAACCACTGAGCCATCTCTCCAGCCCTGAAAAATAGCATTTTTAAACATGCTTGTTACTTATTGAAGCTCTCACAAAAAATAATGGACATTGAATTTGAGTAAATCTTGGTTCAATATTGTGTGATATAGAAACTTTTAAGGTCTACTTCTAAGTTTTAGCATATTGTTGATAGTTTAATCGTTGTCAGAAGTAAAAAAAAAAAGGAAAAACAATGCAAACATATTTCACTCTAAATGGATAAAGCACACTATATGAAATAATTATATTTATTTTCAATGCCATTTGCTAATTTAGCACAAATTTTTTATGAAATGTGACTATTAATTTCCATAGCCCCTCTTCTGAGTCAGTTCTTGCAAACTAGTTGGAAAATAGTTTTCACTTTAATAATTTAACTAATAGTCTTACAATGAATAGCACTAAAATATTTAAATGGAACATTTTATATATCAATTATCATTTATTAGGACTTGAAAAGAGGCTTCAAAACATGTTTCATTAGATTTAATAACATTTCATAAAGTACTTGATAGAATATTGTATGACCTTAAACTTTGCTAAAAAGTGTTCTTCATGTTCTAGAGAACTATACACGTATACATACACGCACACAACAATCCAAAATATATACACAATATATATAATCTGTACACTGTTATTTGTATGTATAACCTCTATATAAGCTATATAATATATATATCACACATGCATTTTGCTGACCTGTTGGTCATATCTGGGTGAGTTAGCATTAATGTTGAATCAGTGTATTTGAAAAAGACTCACATTATAAGTGTACTTCTGAGGCCAGGAATATAGCTCAGTTGGTAGAGTACTTACCTAGCATGCACTAAATCCTGAGTTCCAAGCCAGCAAGATGTCTCAGTGGTTAAAGGTGTTTGCTGTCAATCCTAACAGACCCTGGAACCCACATGGTAGGAAAAGAGCCTGAAAGTTGTCCTCTGACCTCCACATACAAGCAGTTAAAAGCACTTGTTGCTCTTGCAAAGGACTGGAGTTTGTATCCCAGCACACACATCAGGCAGCTCACAGTCACCTGTAATAATTCCGGCTCCAGGGGATCTGATGCCCTCTTCTGGCATCTGAGGGTGCCCTCAAGAACATGCACACACACAACACACACACACACACACTCACACACACACACACCATAAATAAATGACAAACAAAAATGAAAAAAAATGGAATTCTGGATTCCATCTTCTGTACTGACCAAAACCAGGCATGGCAGTGCATGCCTAGCACTTGGGAGGTGGAGGCAGGATGATCAGAAATTCTAGTGATTTTAAGGCCATCATGAAACCTGTCTCAAAAACAAAAAATTAACAATAACAAAATAGAAATGCAGGTCTGCCATTTTCTTTTTTTTCCCTTTGCCTGTGTTATGTGTATACATGCTATAACTTGTATCTCAGACTGACTGTCATAGCTTTGGTTGTCAACTTGACACTTGGGAGGAAGGAACTTCAATTGAAGAATTTCCTTGATCAGATTGGCCTGTGGGCATGACAGTGAGGCATTTTCTTAATTGCTAATTGATGTGGGTGGTGCCATCCCTGGGCAGGTGGGCCTGGGCTTGTATAAGAGAGTTAGCTAAGGGGCTGGAGAGATGTTTCAGCAGTGAAGGGCACTTACTACTCTTTGAGAGGACCCAAGTTTGGTTCCCAAAATCCAAAATGGGGCTTACAACAGTCCATAATGCCAGTTTGGGGGAATCCAATGTCCTCTTCTGGTCTCCAAAGGTATCGTGTACACATGATGCACTTACAAACATGCAGGCAAAACACTCATACACATAAAACAAAAATAAAAATTCAAAAAGAAAGGTAGGTGAGCACACCGGGGAGCAAGCCCTCCAGTGGCACTCCTCCATGGTCTCTACTGCAGTTTCCGCCTCTTCAGTGATGGACTGCGACCAGTAAGACGAATGAAACCCTTTCCTCCTCAAGTTGCTTTTCATCATGATTATCACAGCAACAGAGACCAAACTAGGACAATTTGTACCAGAGAATGGGGTCTTCCTGTAACAGACCTGACCCTGTTGTATTGGGGGGGATTGTGGAAGTGTTTGGAAACTTGGGCAGGAAAAGCTGTTGAGTGCCTAGAGCTTAATGGCCCAGGCTGTGAGCATGGGGAAGATAAGAAAATGCCTCACAGACATGTCCACAGGCCATCAAATTGAGGTCATTCTTCAGTTAAGGTTCCTTCTTCCCAGGTGACTCTAGGTTTGTATCAAGTTAACAGGTAAAGCTAACTATGACACTGAGATTACTATGCAGGGAATCTTTTAAACTATGTGTGCATTTCGTCAGGGTTTAGTTAAAACTGGATTATGTAATTCACAAACCTACAGAATCCAGTACATGTCAGTTTATGTCTCAATACGTTGAGAGCAAGTGAAAATATAGGGAACTCACTCTCATGCACATGGGATGGATCTCCTCCTCTTTCCTCAAAGCATCTCTCACCATGCCGCATGTCTGCTCAACACATAGCTCAACTCAGTCCATTATGTTCAGTACTGGGGATGCTGAATTTCTTGCTTGCAGGGCAAGCACTCTATTGCAGAGCTATATTTCCCCTCTCCCTTGGTTAATACTCTTTAGTTCTTGACCCTATTTGTTGGTGCAGCTCAGGGCTCAGTCCTCAGACCTCTTTATTTTCATTCATTGTCTCAAGGCTTAGACATTTGTGATTTCTTCTACCTGGAAAGCTTTCCCTATGCTCAAGACTTACTCCTGAACTTCAGGTCTGTGTTTAAGGTTGTTCTATCTGTTAGTTCTTCTCTAAGCATCCTGCAAAAATTACATCTCATCTCTAACACCACCTGTCTAAATCTAATTTTCTCTACAATGTCACTACTCAACACACTTATCATTACCTGCACATTTATTTATTGTTCAGCTTCCTTCACAAAATATAAGTCCTGTGCGAGGACTTTGCCCATGTGGTTTACTGTTAATATCCCTACCTAATGGAATAGTGCTGGGCACCGAAGAAGGAACTGACGCTTTCCATTTCTTCAGCTAAGCTATGTCTATATTTTTAAAACATGTTTTGGCTGTTAAGTCTGTTTAAAAAGTTTTATACCTCACAGTTCCCAATTTAATGAAGAAATTATTAAATTGTCAAATGAATTATCCTCTTAGAGTTGTCAACATGAAATCTGTGGGTTCCAAGAATGGCTCTACTAACTCCCTGAATTTCAGAACAAAATGTATGTAGATGTGTCTCCACATCTCTACTGGGGAAAGCCTAAGATCTTCTGTCAGCATCTCATAGGTATGTTGCACAATTCAAGATTTTGGGTTACTCTGATCTTCCTTGGGTGTTGATTAGTATGATGGCTAATCCTGATTGTTAACTTGACACACCTGGGAAGAGGGACCCTCATTTGAGGAATTTTCTCCATCAAACTGGCCCGTGGGTATGTCTGTGGGTATTTTCTTGATGGTTAATTGATGTAGGAAGGTCCAGCCCATTCTGGGCAGAATCATCCCTAGGCAGGTGGGCTTGCCAGAGGAGTGAGCCAGGAGGCAGAGTTCCTTCTGGTTTCTGCTTCAAGCTTCTGACCTGGCTTCCCTCCCTGATGAACTGTAACTGCTTTTGGTCATGGTATTTAGCATAGCAACACAAACCAAACAACAGTGAGCTAAAACCTAGCATGTTCACTAAGAAACTCATGCTGGTCCCACCAAATCAGCTGATGTCTTTGCTTTCATAGAAGCAAAGCACATTGGTATTGAAAATAACCTGCAAGGCGGGTTTCTAGGTAAATGGCTGGCCAGCTGTCATTCATGCTGTCCTCAGGAACTCCAGAAGGAGATACTTGCATCTAGTTTAGGCATACATTACAACCTGTCACACCACATTACGTGACGTTTGGGTTAACGAGGACGACTTTAATTAGGACTGTGATGCTTTCCCAGGAACTGCGATCCTTTCAGCGCCAAGGACTTTGAGAACCTTTCGCACCGGTCAGTTTTTTAGGTCCTGCGAAAATATCTTGTCACCCTTGCCCTCCGCTGTGTTTCTCCAGAGATACAATTCTAAACAAGGGACAGGAAGAGGACACTTCTCTATACTGGCTGCTCCTTTTTATGGTGCTCTCCTGTAGGTCGGTTTCTCGAGATTGAACTTCCAGATTTGGACATGATGCTTCAGTAGTGCAGCTCTTCATAAGCCAACAGCTGTGGCCCAGCGCGAGCGGTCTGGAAATGGGCAAGGCTGGGAAGTGGAAGGGGGGAGCGGCCCAAGCTGGAATGAATGGAGGAAGGAAGGGCCAGCGGGTGGCTGGGGAAGGACAGGCCGGAGCGGCCGAGGCCGTGGGCGGTGGCGCAGGCAGGCGCCTGGAGGCCAATCGGAGCGCTGGCCTCGGACCCGGACCCGCCCCTGGCCCCGCCCCGGCGCCGCGCATCTCCCTGAGGCCGCGGAGGCGCGCGCAGCTGTCCAGCTTCCGGAAGTGCGCCCGAGCGGGCGCCGCGGGCGGAGGTGAGCGCTTAGGCCTCGCGGGCTGTGCCGCCGAGCACCGGAGGTCGAGCCTGGCGTCGCTGGCGTCCGCTGGAACCTCGGCAGGGTGGGATCCCTGGCAAGGACGGAGGTCGCGCCCCGCGCCTGCGGCGCTCACCAGCGGGCTTGCGGCGGGGGAGGGGACCGGCGCGGGGCGGCGGGTGGGCTCTTCCGGGTTGCCGCTGCAGAGGGAGGTCCCAATGGAGATGCTGGCGGCTTTCGGAGTTTGGGGGTCACCAGTGGCACACTGCTCCTGTAGTCAGCGCCACGTTCGCTCGCAGCCCTGAAGGCCTGCTGCTAGCCACCCCCACCCATCTGTGACAGACCCAGAAGCGCCCCCACAAAGTCCCAGATTTTGGTTGTCCTCAAAGCACCCGCCTTGGCGCTCGATGGATTTGAAGCCAGCTGCTTCTTGAGCGCCTTTAGAGGTACCGGATGTATAAACTTTATACTTGCCTTGCCGGTCCATTGTGAACAGAATGTGAGCAGAGCCCAATAGCGAGCTGATAAACAAGTGGCTGCTTGCCTGCGTAACCATACATGTAGCGTATTTATGGAAGAATGCTTAGGCACATTAAACATTCATTTCAGTTTGTTAAAGCGTCAGTGAATATAACAAGTATAACTTGGTGATAACCAGTAGTTTCTTTTGTAACGATTGAGAAGCATATTCTCATGAAGTCATTTTGATACAAACCCATAAGCCTTTTATAAAAGAGTTTAATTTTGAATAATTGGACATCTTGTCACAGACAGCTGGGGGTAGCCAGCAGCTGGCCTTTTAGTACATCCAGTGTATAGTAATTACTAGTATCAGATTTAAATGTATATGATCAGGTTTTCCCCAAATAACTTTTCCTGAGTATTTCTGAATTAATTTAGGAACCACCTAAATCTGAATAAGCTTACAGGTGAATAAGAGTACAGGTGAAACTGAAATTGTGCTTTTTTTTTTTTTTTTTAATTCAGGAGACAAATTCATTTAGATAGCAAAGGATTTTTTTAAAATTACTTATTTAATGCCGGGTGTGGTGCACACCTTTAATCCCAACAGAGGCAGAGACAGGTGAATTTCTGTGAGTTCAAAGTCAGCCTGGTCAATACATGCCTGTGAGTTCCAGGCCATCTGGGGCTACAGGGAGACCCTGTCTCAAAAATACCCCCCCCCCCAAATTATATGTATGAGTGTTTTGCCTGCATGTATGTAAGTGTACCACGTGTACGTAGAGGCCAGAAGAGGACATCGGGTTCCCTGGAACTGGAATTTCAGATGGTTGTTAGCCACCATGTGGGTGCTGGGAACTGAACCCAGGTCCTCTGCACGAGCAGCCAGTGCTCTTAACCACTGAGCCATCTCACCAGCCTCGTAGATAGTGAAGGACTTTTGTACATACATTCATTTTTAAAACAGGTATTTCTTGGTATGCTATGCTTTTACTGTCATTTTGTGTGAAAATTTGTTTTAATTTTCTTTGCAGTGTCTATTGACTATAGATTATTAATTTCTACAAATTGGATTTCTAGATCCCTTACTGGTATTGATTTGTAATATAATTGCACTATGGTTAGAGACTATATACTTTAAATTTCCAGTCCTGTGAAACTTAGGCCCATGATCCCATGATTTGTTTTGATAATGTTTCTTATGCACTTGAATGGAATGTACTGTAGTTGTTGGGTCTAGTTTTGTAAATGTCAGATCAATTTGATTTATAGTGTTATCTAGATTTTCTATTTCTTTATTGATCCCCCACCCCTCAGATTTGTGTGTACTTCTATCAGTCAGTGGGAGAAGGGTGCTAAAATCTCTATGATTGGGGGATTGCCCTTTAGAGTTGATTCGTAGTGCTTCGCTTCTTCTCCCCAGCATTGACTGGGGAGACTGACACAGTGAGATCACCATGACTTATGGCCAGCCTGGGCTGCAGAGTGAGACCCTGTCTTAAAAAGAGAAAAAAAAAAAGGCCACCCAAACAGAAAATCCATACCAGGTGTGTACATATTTAGGGTTGTATGTTGGAGAGGATGTGACCCATCTGTTTAATGATAGTCCTTCCTTATTTTTCTTTGTATTGGCACTCACTCTGTCAAGTGCTAACACAGCCACAGTAATTATTTGTTACTGATGAATTAGCTTATTTCTTATAATAAAATGACCCGCTTAAAACTCTTTGTCTTCAGGTTAGCTTGTCCAGATACTAATGTAGCCATATTGGTTTTCCTGTGCTCACTATTTGCATAGACTATATTTTTCTGTCATCATCATTATTATTATTTTGTTTTTTTGGGACAGGGTCTCACTATGTAGCCCCAGCTAGCCTGGAACTCACTATATATACCATCCCAGGCTGGCTTCTGTCTCAGTAGTTCACCTGCCTCTACCTCTCAAGTGCTGGGATTAAAGGCATGCACCACCATGCTGGGGCATCATTTTTATTTTTAAACTGTATTTCTCTATTATTTCTTTTAATATACTTTTTTTGTGGTACTGGAGGTAGAACCCAGGATCTTACACAGACTAGCCAAGTGTTCTATCTAATCAATGAGCTACACATCAGGCTGTGTCCTCACATGTAAAATGTCTGGTTCAGATGGCATGTAGCTGGGTCTTGCTTTTTAAAAGCCCAACAAACTCTGTCTCGTAGTTTGAGTGTTTATTCCATTTATAATTAATGTAGGTATTGATATGCTTGGGTTCTAGTCTCCTACATTGTCTTGTTTTCCATTTAATCTTTCTGATTCTTTCCTATGACATTTCTGGTCTGAGTGTGTTCTATCTTTTTCTTTTTTCCTTTTTTTTTTTTTTCGGTCTTTTTGAGACAGGGTCTCCCTGTAGCCTCAGCTGGCCTGGAACTAAGAAGACAGGCTGGCCTCCTCCAGGAGATCACCTGGCCTTTGCCTCCATTGGGCTGGGATTAAAGGTGTGTACTATTACACCTGGCTTTTTTGTTATTTCTTTAATGGTTTTTAAAGTATACCTCTGAAAAAAAAAGAAAAGGTATACCTTTTTGCTTTTTGAATAATTATTTCAGAACTAACACTATGCATCCTTAAATTATTAGTATTTAACTTATCAAAGTCTAGTTTAATACTGCTTCAGTTTATACCTCACAGTTCAGATCTGTCATTTCTCACCTCTCACTTCCCATTTCCCACCTGGCATTTCCCCCACCACTTCTTTCCCATTTCCTGTTTCTCATTTGGCAAGTCACAAATGTATTAACATAATAGATTAATTAAACACCCTCCCCCATGCAATTTGATATCTCTTATACTATATTTTAAATTTGAATTACAGATTTGGTTCTCTCCTTCCACCATGTGGGTTCCAGGGATTAAGGCTCAAACTCAGATTGACAGGTTTGGCAGCAAATCCCCTTTACCTGTTCAACCATCTCACTGGCCCTAATTTTTTTTTTTAAGACAGAATCTCACTGTGTAGGTTAGGCTGGCCTTGAACTCACAGAAATCTGCCTGCCTCTGCCTCCTGAGTGCTTGAATTAAAGGCATGCGCCACCATGCCTGGCACTCTTATTTTATTTTATTTTATTTTATTTTATTTTAGTTTTTGGTCTTATTGAGACAGGGTCTCTCTGTAGTCCCAGCTGACCTGGACCTCACTTTGTAGACCAGCTGGTCTTGAACTCACAGAGATCCACCTGTCTCTGCCTCTGGAGCACTAGGATCAAAGGTGTATACCACCACTCCTGGCTCTAATTGTGTTTTTAAGTCATCTGACTTTTAAGGAAGTTTTTGGAATAAAGACATCTTAATATTTGTATTTGCCAAACATTAACAGTATTTGATTCTCTTCTTTTCTGATGATCTGAGTTTCTTATCAACTGGAAGAATGTCTTTTAAGATTAAAAAAAAATTATGTGAATGTGTTTTGCCTGCATGTATGTAAGTGTACTACATGTTTGCAGTGCCTGTGGAGACCAGAAGAGGGAGTCGGATCCCTTGGAACTAGAGTTAACAGGCCTTTGTTAGCCGACATGTGGGTGCTGGGAACCAAAACTGGGTCCTCTGCAAAAACAGCCAGTGCTCTTAACCACTGAGTCATCTCTCCAGGCCTAGAAGAATGTCTTTTTAATATTTCTTGTAGCACACATATCCACTGGTGACAGATTTTCCTGGTTCATCTGAAAACTCTGTGTGTGTGTGTGTGTGTGTGTGTGTGTGTGTGTGTGGCAGTTCTGAAGACTGAAACCAGGGCCACATGCATGCTAGGCATGCACTCTACCTAGCCCCTGAAAACGGTGTGCTTTAATTCCAATTTTTGAAGGATGTTTATGCCAGACTTAGAATTGGGAGATTACAGATCTTTTTCTAGAATTCAGATTTTTTTTTTCTTTCTAGTTTCCATTTCTTTGTGGAGAGTCTTTTGCTTTTCTTACTATACTTATGTTTTTCTTTAAGTCCTTCTACCATCCTAAGTTGGTTTCTCTTGACTGCCATTTTTTTGGCTTTGGGTCACAGTTTCATCTTTCTTTGTAATTTAGTAATCTTGGATCTTGGATTGCATCTTAAATATTATGGATGGCATTCTAGAGATGTATATCTTTGAGGAATGTTGCTGTTTGTTCTAGCAAGCAGTATGTACTGCAGGCTTCCTCTTGTGCTTTGATAGAAGAAATCTTTGGAAAGATCAGGATGATTCTCCACATCTTTCTAAGTTGAGGAAACCCACTAGATGAGGTCTTAGCTGCGGATCTGGTTGAAACTTGGTTTTTAGGTTCTGTTAGGTTAGATGAGTGTGAGCCTTGCTGTAGAGTGCTCTTTACTCCTAATATGTAGCTGGCCTCATGTCTCCGGATGCCTTGGGTATTGAAGGGGTCTTTTCAATCAGCGTGGTTAAAAACTGCAGTGTCTCTCATTATTGACTGGCCTTTTGCTCCTATCACAGCAGCTCTTGGTTAAACCTTGCAGTTTCATCCTGGTGATGGGCATCCCAAGCCTATCTGAGCCTGTATGGGGGGACACCCCAGACAGTCATATGTCCCCAGTCCCAAAGCCCCTCCCTGCCTTGTTCTTCAGAATTCAGCTCCTTCATCAGATTTTAATCCTATTCTCTGTCACACTAGCTTGGCCTACTTGAACTTCAGCTTTCTGCACTGCCCCGGAAGTTGTCCTCAAACAGCCAGTCAGTATGATCCTGGGCTTACCTCACCAGTTTCTCTTCTCAGGGACTGCATTCTCCCCTGCCATGTGGAGTACCTATAAACAGTTGTATGTTTACTTCAGTTTGGGGACTGTTTCTAGTTGGTAGACTAATCTGCATTATTAAGTACTCTGCCAAGGCCAGAAATGAAATTCCCTAAGTAATTGTTACTTTTATGTTACTTTAGCTTCACTGCATGCTACCCCAGTATATGAATGGAATATGTAGGCTCCTAAAAATCCCCAAACAGAGACGGGTGTGGTGGCACATGAATTAATCCCAGCATTCCGGAGGCAGAGGCAGGTGGATCTCTGTGAGTTCAAGGCCAGCCTGGTCTACATATTGAGTTCCAGGGCAGCTGGGGCTCAGGGAGACCCTGTCTCAAACAAAGAAACAAACAAATAACCCCTCCCCAAACAACATAACATAAATGTAATGAGGTCCACATGAAACACGTACACTGTTGTTTTTACCTCTCTCCTTTCTTGGACCCTTGAAAAACTTGTCACTGATTTTTAAATATGCTTTTCTTTATTTTCGTCCTTCCCCTTCCCATCCTATTTCTTTCTTTCCTCCCTTTACCCCCACTCCTTTCCTTCTCTCTTCCCACCCTCATTCTTTCGTTTAATTTTATTATTATTGTGTGTGTATACCTGTGCAGTGCCATGGTGCTTGTGTGGAGGTCAGAGAACAACCTATGTGAGTGAGCTGGCTCTCCCACCATGAGATCTGAGATCTAGGGTCATTAGGCTTGTGTGGAAAGCACTTTGATCTCACCTGCCCTCCTCCTGGTTTTTTTTTTTTTTTTTTTTTTTTTTGGAGAAAAGGTCTCCATGTAATCCCAGCTGGCCTGGTACTCAGTATATAGACCTGGCTGGCCTTGATCTCTCAGAGATCTGCTTTCCTCTGCCTCCCAAGTGCTGGGATCAAAGGCATGTGCTACCATGCTCGGCTTTCCTCTTTTTTTTTTTCTTTTTGAGTCACAATCTCACTCTATAGCCCTGGCTGGCCTCAAATCCTTCTGCCTTAGCCTCAGCACTGTGGTTGTAGGTGTGCACTGCCACTTCTGGCTAAGTGCCCTTTTGCCCTCAGGTGAGTATATCTGGGTGAAGTGGCAGATGAGAGGACATTGCTTCTCACACCTGGGAAGCTTGCAGCTGTTTTCTGATGAGGCCAGAAGGCTAGCTGATTTCAGGTTTTTTGGTTGTTTTAGTTGTCATTAGTGTTACAGAGAAATGATGACCAATAAGTTCCATGATACTTAAGGGTCAATCAATCAACAGGGCACTGTTTTGAACACCTGTAACAAAGTTAACTAGGAGCATAGAATACATGATCCTTTTAAAAACATTTTTATATTGTCACTTAGCGTTTCTCTTTTTCTTCTTTTGGTGAGCTGGCCTGGAACTCACCATATAGACCAGGCTGGCCTCAAACTCACAGAGATCCACCTGCCTCTGCCTCCCAAGTCCTGGGATTAAAGGCGCATGATCTTAAAAAAAAATGTGTGTCTGTGTGAGTGAATGCCACCTGTGTGGGGGTGCCCACAGAGGCCAGAAGAGGGTGTCAGATCCCTTGGAACTGGGGTTACAGGCAGACATCAAGGGTGCTAGGAACTGAACTCAGGTTGTCTTGAAGTGCTAGTATTCTTAACTGCTGAGCCATGTCTCCTACTTGCCCCCATCGTCTTAATCTTGATGCTATGTTAGCTAAGTTTGTGTTACTGTGACAGAATACCTGAGATGAACAAGTTAGAAGAAGGAAGACTTTATCTTGGCTTATAGTTTCACAGGTTTTGGTCCATGGTTGCTGGGCTCTGCTGCTTTGGGCCTGTGGTAACAGTACATCATGGTAGGAGCACATGGCAGAGAAGACCCGTGCACCTGTTATGGAAGCATGCGATCTTTTCTTTCAGCATTAGCCTATATTCCCAAGACATTGATAACTTTTCCAGCTTTGTTTATTTATTTATAAATATTTATTTTTAGACAGGGTCTTATTTATCCCAGGCTAACCTTGAACTCACTGTTCACTGTGTAGCTGAGGATGATCTTGAAATCCTGATCCTCTTGCTTCCACACCCCAAGTGCTGGGATTATAGGCTTGAATCACCTTGCCAAGTTTATTGGTGGTGGGGATCGAACCCAGGGCTTTGTGCATGCTAGGTAGTAACTGCCTACTGAACTGCATCCCTAGCTTCATCCAGCTTTGTTCTAGCCTGTAGGTATATAGGTACAGAGATACAGAAGTATTTGTTTACCTGGAAACACATAGTGAAAAATGCTTTCATATGGAGCATTTATTCTTTTTTAAATTTATTATCACGTGTGTACATGTATATGTGGGCACTCATGTGCATGCTGTGGTTTGCATGTAAAGGTTAGAGGACGACTTCAGGGACCTGATTCTCTCCATGGGTTCTGGGGCTTGAGCTCAGGTTGTCAGGTTTAGGTGGCAAATGCTTTAGTTTCCTGTTTTGAGATAGGATCTTACGGTGTAGCCCATACATGCCTTGAACTTGTTACTTAGTCCATGGTGACCTCAAACTCACCATCTTCTTGCCTCAGCCCCCTAAGTGTGAGGGTTATTGGTGTGCACCACTGTGCCTGGCTGTTTGGTACACTTCATTCTTCTGTATGGTCTAGACCTTTGAAGACCAAGGGAGAATATAAAATAGTCAGGGGGGATGGTGGTTGTTTACGTGTGGTGTGGTTTGTTTTGTAGCTTCAAGTTTATAGTCACTTAGAAGAGAATTGTGCACACATTGAGCACCTTCAAAAGACTGAAGGGCTTTCAGGTGAGGCATATGCATTCGTTCTTTTGAACATGTGTTCTTCTCTGTGCAGCACTGGGTCTCATTCTTTAGCATCCCACTGAAGACTTGGTTCTCTCTCTCTGAAGACAGTTCCACCCTGGAAGCCCTTTGCCTAGAAGGCCGTGTGAAGTCAAGATGCCTGTTGACCTAGGGCAGGCCCTGGGCCAGCTGCCTTCGCTGGCCAAAGCCAAGGCTGAAGACTCCATGTTCTCTGGACCAGATGCTGCCCCTCAAGGGGAGCTCTCCAGCCCTGAGACTGCACGCCAGCTTTTCAGACAGTTTCGCTACCAGGTGATGTCTGGGCCCCATGAGACCCTGAGACAACTTCGGAACCTCTGTTTCCAGTGGCTGCGGCCCGAGGTTCACACCAAGGAACAGATCCTGGAGATCCTCATGCTGGAGCAGTTTCTGACCATCCTCCCTGGGGAGATCCAGATGTGGGTGAGGAAACAGTGTCCAGGCAGTGGAGAAGAGGCAGTGACCCTTGTGGAGAGCTTGAAGGGAGATCCTCAGAGACTGTGGCAATGGGTAAGCAGGGGCTCGTGCCTGAATGAAGCCCAGGCTCCTCTGGGGCCTTTTCTGGTCCGTTGTCTTTTTTTTTTTTTTTCTGATGCGACTTATGATACCAGATGTGTAGGGAATAGGTTTCCAAACAAACAACCAGTTGTTTTAGTCTCTGATGTAAACTGAGCATCTAGCAAGTCAGTTCGGGTCTGACACTAGCTACACAGGTGCAGAGCCTAGCCCCACAGAACTGCTTTCTACTTCAGATGCCATTCACACCTGCCATGGACCACAAGTCCTGACAAACTGCCTATCAGATTCAATAATTAGAGTGACTTACAGAACTCAGGAAAGTGCTTTATTTCTGGTTACCAGTTTATTATAAAGAACAAAACTCACTAGCAGCAAAGTGGAAGAGATACACAGGCTGGTTCCCAAGCCCCTCCCAGTGAGCCACCTTCCCAGAACCCCAGTGATTTTACAGGCTAACAGTTCTTGAAACCCTGTCGTTTAGTCTTTTATGGGGTTTCACCATCTTGGCACAGTCGATTAATTCATTTGCCATTGGTGATTGAATGTTTCTGGTGTCTCCCCCCGCCCCCTTCCCCGGAGTTGATGGTTGGGTCAGCTGAAAGTTGCAACCTTGCAATCCCCTGATTTGCTCCTCTGGCAGTCAGTCCCCCATCCTGAAGCTTTAGGGGTCACCAAGAGTTAGCTCATCATCATGGGCTCAGCTATGGAATGAAAAATCTATATGTAATAAAAAATTGCTCTTTCCTGTGCTGGGGAATATAAGAGTTCAAGGAGCTCTGCCTACAACAGGGGACAAAGACCAAGATGCGTGCTTCTTATATCACATCTGGGTCTCCCCTTACTTCACCTAATTCTGCATCTTAGCCTCCAGCCCACAACTCCTCTGGAATTTTGGCTTACTCAGAAGAGGCCTGAGTTTAATTGTTGTAGACTCTAGTAGTACACAGTATTTAGGGCATGATTTGAAGGTCACCCAGGTCTGATTCAGGTCTCAGCTTCTGGTGTCCTTTGGGTTTCTTTCACTAGTTCCTGACAGACTAAAAATGGATTTTGTCTTTCTCTGCTCCATGGCCGTAAAGACTATCTTGTGGTCTGTCATAGAAGGCAAATTCCATTAACTTTGAGAAATCTTGACTCTATGTCCTTTGGTAGTTAGTAATTAGTACTTTTTGGTGTCTAGATCAGCATCCAAGTTCTAGGACAAGAAGTCTTATCAGAGAAGGATGATGCTCCACACTGCCAAGGGGGTGAAGTGGAGCCCCGGCTGGAGGTACGGGACCTGCCACTTCAGAATTCACCCTCAGGGCCTGGGGAACTGCTAAGCCACAGTGTGAAAGAGGAATCGGACATGGAACCAGAATTAGGTGAGGGGCAGTTACTCATTGTGCTGTGTGTGCTGTCTGGGAGAAATCTGGGGATTGTGGTTAGTAGGGTTAAGTATAAACTGGAATGATGTAGTGCCCCTGGAAAGTTTGGAAACAGTATAGACCTTCATGAACCACTCTGACATGGAGGTTCAGAGTCTGTGCTTTAAACCATTTTGTGACTGGGCCAGATGATTCGGATTTTGGTTCTTTGGAGGGAGTGGGAGAAACACGAGGAGACTTTGGAAGTTTGGAGGGGGTTGTAGTTGTTAGGAGGTAAACACACATCTTTGAATTTGGTTGGCAGAACAGATGGTTCTCATTTTTGAGGAATATTATGGTGCCCTCTGGGGAGTGGTTAAGGGAGACATCTGGATTCTGAAAGCCTCCTGTTCTCACCGCAGCTCTGGCTGCTTCCCAGCTTCCTGCCGAACCTGAGGAAAGGCCTGTGGGAGACCAAGACTTGGGAACAGCACTTCTCCCAGCAGCACCTCAGGTGAGCCCGATCCTCTGCGTTGCTTGCCTTGAAACTGAATCAGGCTTCCAGGGAGTTTCAGTAATCAGGAGGCTTTTAAAGTATTCTCGCTGGTTTGGTTTGTGTTGTTCATTTTTCCAGGAATGGTACTCGGGGCTCTCTGCATGCACTCTACCACTAAGCTGTGTCTCAAGCAAGTTGCTGGATATTTCTGTGGTCTTATAAATAATCTTGGGCTTTCCTCTGGGATGCAGTTATTTGGACAAAGTTTGTTATAGTTTCCTTAGACTTTTGGGGCAGCTACATTTCAAGACCCCTAGTGGATATCAGGCACTATAGATAATACTGAACATCCTATACATAGTATGGGTTTTTCCTATCCTAGCAGACCTCTGATGAAGCTTGTTTTATAACTTAGGAAAGATAAGCGATTAACATTGACAAGTAATAAGACAGTGATTATAGCACAATGCTGAAATGAAAGTTAAATGAGTACTGTTTCCCCTATGTTAAAACGTTAAGACATTACTCTGTAACACTATACTCTCCCTTCCTGTGTTGATATCAGATGGCACAGGCCTATGTGATGATAGGGAGTGGGGTAGATGACAGCACTGTCACCCACTGTGGCTATAACTTCTACAGTTTGTGGTGTGACAGCAAAACAGACATTTTTTTCTTTCTCCTTTTTTCACAATTTCAGGGTTAGAAGACTTGTTCTTATTGCAGGTCTCAGCAGCCTCAGCATGTAGTTTATTCTTTCCTTATTAAGTAGAAAATGTCTTTATTTTCCACCTAGGAAGTACTTCGTGGAATCTCTCTGTGTCCAGCATCATATCACCACACTTGCATTCTGCAGCCTTTGTTAAATAAAATAAGGATCACTTAGAAGCGCTGTGGTACTGTCATGGTGGGTATGACAGCCAAAATGACTACTGAGTGACCAGTGGGTGGGTAGCATATGCAGGGTTGGTATGCCAAGTAAAGAGGTGACTCACATCCTGTGTGAGGTTTCATTGTGCCCTCAGAATGAGGCACTGTTTCTTGGCAAGGTGGCACACCTGTAATCTTAGTGCTTGAGAGATTGAAGTAGGAAGATTTCTAGGTTCAAGGCCAGCCTAGGCTATTTAGTGACCTTCAGGTCATATTGGACTGTACAGTAATACCCTGTCTCAAATAAACAGACGAACCATAAGCAAAAGAATAGTGTACAATTGGGGCTGGAGAGATGACTCAGTGGTTAAGGGCACTGGCTGCTCCTGTAGAGGACCTGGGTTAGATTCCCAGCACCCACATGGCAGCTAACAACCATGCATAAGTTCAGTTCCAGGGGTATCTGACAACTCTCTTCTGACCTCCACAGGCATTATTGTGTGACATGGGTGCACTTACATACATGTAGGCAATACATTCATAAATATACATAAAATAAAAATAAATATTTTTAAAAAAGAATATTGTACAATCTAAAACATGAATTATTTCTGAAATTTTCCATTTAGTGCTTTCAGGCTATCAAATATGGGTAACTGAAACTAGAAAAGTGAAATTGTGGATTGGGACGACTACTGTGTAGTAGCAGAGAAGCCTGTCACCCAGGGTTAATTTTCCCCGTGGCTGAGGTGGTACCCTCCTAAGTGTTCTGCCTCATGTCTCTTACTATGCCAGGCTCAGAACAATATAAGCCTGTATTAAGCTTGTGCAGTGGTTCTTGGGCGGTTCCTTCGTGGACTCGAGGAGGAGCCCTCTGCGTATCCCCAAAACTCTTTGTACAGCTCGTTTTTTCCTGATTATCTGTTCTGAAAACTGTAACCACCATGGACTCACCAGGTTCTGAACTCCTTCCCAGCTCCAGGGTGCTCTTAGCTCTGCTGCCAGTAAATGCCCTTTCTGTGCTGTGTCCTCTGTGGGTGGTGTGTTTGGACAGCCTTAGGTCTTAGTATGTACCCTCACTCCAGAGGCTCTCTGTTTTGCTCAGCATAGTGTGCACTATATGTAAACCACTGTTTTCATTTTTTAGTTATTTCCAACAGAAAAACTGTTGTTCTATTTGACTTTATTCTGTTTTATTTCATTTTTTTATTTTTATTTCATGTGTATGAGTGTATTGCCTGCATGTGTATAAGTGCACCCATGTTGTGCAATGCCCTTGGAGGTCAGAAGAAGGTGTTGGATCCCCTGGAACTGGAGTTACGGATGGTTGTTAGCTACCATGTAGGTGCTAGGAATTGAACCTGGGTCCTCTGCAAGAGTAGTCAGCGCTCTTAACAGATGAACCATCTCTCCAATCCCTCTATTTTGACTTTAGACCAAAGTCTCTGGGCCAGGTTTATCTATCTATAACTCATAAAAATTTCACTTGGTAGATTGTTTAGAAATAGATATTTAAATAGAAACATTTCAAATCTTAGGGGAACTTCTCTGGGGACTTGCCTTGGGGGGCACTGTAGAGTGTAGGCACAGAAAAAGCAGTGGTGGTTCTTGATCCCATGCTCAGACAGGTCTGAGCTTCAGCTCTCAGAATTCAGGGTCCAATATCAGTTTACCTTGGAGGAGGATAAATAGGTGGCAGGGGAGATATACAAATTTGGAGTGAATCAGGGGTGTCCTTGTTTCTGGAGTCCAAATTGTTAAGCAGGACATTGATTGGTGACAAAGATTTAGTGACTGGGGCCTTATAGCTCAGTGGTGGAATGTATGCTTACCATCTGTAAGGGGCCCTAGGTTCAGTCTGCAGCACCAAGAATCAAAATCCAAAAGAAAAAAAAGTTTTGGGTATTCTGTGAAGCATTTGAATCATGCTTGGAGGACAACTGTTTCTGTAGTTTGAAGGGACAATCCCTGACACACAGAGAATTGGTTAATACGTTTAACCCAGTACAGACACTGTTACATGTTCTGGATAACTTAAAAGATTGAAGCTGGGCAAGGTGGCATACCTGTAACCCTATCACTTGGAAGGCTGAGGCAATAGTATTTTGAGTTTGAGGCCAGTCAGGCCTATGCATCAAAACTCTGCCTCAAATAAAACAAAGTCCCAAACAAAAAAACAGATAATTAAAATGCTCAACAGCACCAGTTTGTTATTGGGGTGTGTGTGTATGTGTGTGTGTGTGTGTGTGTGTGTGTGTGTGTGTGTGTGTGTATTTAGCTGGCAGTTGGTTACCAATCACTGAGGTGAACAAAAGTCATCCCTATGCAATTCCAATACTCCCCAACCCCAACCCCAACAATTATCTGCCTTAGAAAGACCTTTAGATTTAATGGAGTCCTTTGAAAGTGAAAGAAAAAATTAAATATAAAAAAAATCACTTCTCCTGTCTTGCTTATAAATTAGGAATTTTGTTAATCACATTGGAACACCGTAGTATCATTCTCACTACACTGTAGTTCTTCATTTTCAGACATTAGGATCATGTTGACCCTTCACCCAGACCAGGGATGGATACAGTCACTTGTGCACATCAAGGGTGGTGGTAGCTCATAAACCCACGAGGTGGTGCTCTTTCCACACAGAAAGGTAGTTTCCACATCAGAAACCACTCCAGAGTAGGAAGTTTAGGTTTTTTCAAAGGGAAAGATGATGACACTGGTGTCCGGCGTGTCTGGTGGGGTTACAGTCAAGCCTCGGCTCCTGGCAGTTTTTAAGGCTTTCAGTCAGAGGTGCACTGTTGGGAGATGCCTGAAGCAACTGCTCTCATTTTAATGAGCTCACCCTTTTTTGCCTTTTACTGTTCTTAGCAGTTGTTCTGCTAACCATGAACTGTCTATGCCCAGTGTCCAGCAAACCAGATATTCTGTCCAATATTACTGTCCTTGGCATGGTGTCCTTTTCTCTGCTAGGTCTGAAGTAAGGGTCTGTGTGTTCCAACCACACAGGACTCTTGTAACAGTAATGTTTGCTCAGGTTGGCTGTTTTCAAGAGGTTCTTAAAATTTATTCACATGGAGCATAACAAAATAAGTTGTTAGCAGTTCATACTTTAAAAATGTTTAAATTCAGGCCTGGAGAGATGGCTGAGTGGTTAAGAACACTGGCAGCCCTTGCAGAAGACCTGAGTTTGAATCCTAGCACCCGCATAATGGCTAACTGTCCATACTCCAGTTCCAGGGGCTCTGATGCCCTTTTCTATCTTCTGTGGGCACTGTGCAACACAGGTACATTTACACACATTCAGGCACTCATACACATAAAATAAAACATAATAAATAAAATATTTTAAAAATTAAAAATGTTTAAGTTGAATTTCATATTTAAAATGTAATTGAATATATTGAGAGAACTTTTGAACTTCCAGATATCTTTCACAGCAAAAATGTCCCCCATTCTGCTAATTCAGGATGTTTCGGTGTCTCTCCTGGAGCCATTCTGTTCCCTCTTGGTACTCTAGGTGGCAGACTTGATTTAGAACTGAGAATCGCCTTCCCTGAATAGTATATTTGTATGTAATAGGAAGATGACTTCATAATTCTCTCATTTCTGCCCCTTGTAGCCTGGGTACATATGATATAATGCATGGCTGTGAACTTGGGTGGGGGTGTTCCTTTAAAGTGGGTCACATCCCTACATTCTTTATGCAAAGTCTTATGGGCGTCTGAGTGACTTCATAGTACTCATAGCCATAGGACTTACTTGCTAAGGGCTTTATCTCACCCTGGCAGCATATATTCTGTTCCAGCTCTGCCATAAGCAGGGTTTTGGGGTCTGGGAAAGTACAGTGGAGAGTAGACAGAGCCTATTTCTCATGGAATTTAATTCTAGTAGAGGCAGTAATTAAATACATGTATGTCAGTGTACTCATGCATGTCATGCCAGTATTTAGTAAACTGATGAGAGCTGTGACTGAGAAAAGTGGTGTACTATTGTAACAGTGATATTTGCATTATTTATTTCAAATCTCCCAACAAGTTTTTGAGTTCAGTACTAACAGCAAATGAGGTCCAAGGCTCTAGAAGGTCAAGTAACTTGCTCAGAGTTACACAGTTAGATGTGGCCAGTCTGAGACTTGAGATCCAGTGTGTGACTGCATAGCGTGCACTGCCAAGCACACTGGGTTTATAATGGTCAGCCTCTCTGTGGGGAGACTGAAATTTGAATTTAGAACAGTGCATCTGAGCTGGGTAGCGTTCCCCATTTTGGGTCTTAAGCTCATAGTTCGTAGGCTACTTTGTGGATAATAGGGGAACACCTTGCTTAGTAGTATCTCCCCCCCCCCCCCCCCGAGTAAAATCAACTTAATGTTAGGCTCTCTGTGAACTATCAGGAGATTCCCTATGTTGTAGTTGCAATGTCTGTCTCTCCTGAAGCCACAGTCTTTTTCACAGCAAGGTATAGAGGGCAGTTGATTTCATTGCTGATTCTTCTCAGATTTTCACTTGCTTTTCTCACAAGTTCCTTTTAATTTCCTTCTTTTCCCTTTTGAATTTCTAGGTTTTTGATAGTGGAAGTACCAGGTCCCCAGGGATGAAAGATCCATAGTACAACATTCAAAATAATTTTTTAAAAAAGGGAGCAACAGTATGTATGTTATTCATTCTTAAATACATACAGCATTAAAAAAAATGCAGAACTCAGGGCTGGAGAGATGACTCAGTGGTAAAGAACACTGGCTGTTCTTGCAGAAGACCCAGGCTTGAATTTCAGTACCCACACGGCAGCTAACAACTGTCCCTGACTTCAGTTCCAGGGGATCCGATGCCCTCTTCTCTCCTCCACGGGCATTGCACAACACATATGCACTTACACACATGTAGGCATACATGCATACACATAAAAATAATAAATAATAAATTTTAAAAATGCAGAACTTACACCCTCAGTGTTTTCTAATCAGGGCAAGGAATACTCTCTCAAGCCTGTCATCATCCCTTTGGCCTCTTGTTTCTTGGCTATGCGCCTATGAGTTCTTAGGTCTTCAGGTGGCCAGGGTCCTATGGCACACTCCTTCCTCTTGGTTGGGGAGCAGGTTCAAATGCCTTCATTGGAATGATGCTGTTGCATTTTTTTCCAGGAGCCATGGAGACACCTGGATTCAACTCAGAAGGAGCAATACTGGGATCTCATGCTGGAGACCTATGGAAAAATGGTCTCAGGAGGTGAGAACATGGATCTGCTTGATCGGAGATGGGAAGACTGGAAAACTGTTAGATATCATCTCTGTATTTCTAGAACCATCTGTTCAAATTTGATGGGTGAAGGAAATCGCTAGAGGTACAGCTAAGAACTAGGGTGAGTTAGAGATAGCAGGGCTATAGTAAGAGCATCCTAACACTGAAAATATTCTGTTTGTCAGGAACTGTTTGGGTGTTACGCACAGTAGCATCTTTATGAAATGGTAACAGGTTCCCCTTTTAAAGATGTTGAAAGTGAGCATTAGATCAAGGACTCACTCTTTCACAGCTCTTAAGTGCCAAGTTAAGGTGGCCTCAGTTGTGACTGGCTCTGAGTTCACGTTCTTTCCTACTAAATTGCATTGCCTCAAAATAACTGCTGGTGGAGTCACGATCCAGCCTGCCAGTTGTCTCCAGTTCCTTATGGTCACTTGTCTAGATTCTTGTTTTCATGGCATTCACCATCTGTCCTAATGGTCTGTGAGTACTGCTGAGCTATAAATGCCATGCAGGTTCTCAGGTGAGTTTCCCTATGTGCCTTCATGCCTAGGGATCTCAAGACACAATTCAAATTCTCTGACTCCCCCGTTCACCCAGGCTCACAAACTTATCCCTCTCTGTAGCAGGCATTTCCAACTCCAAATCTGACCTGATTCATCCATTGGAATATGGGGAAGAGCTGGCAGGACTGCACCTTCACATCAGTGAGAAGATCCCAAGACTTGCCTGTGTAGGTCAGTGGCTTTTTCTTTGATCTCTAGCCATTTCTGACCTCCTCCTATTAAATTGGTGGTGGTGGATAAGGTATTCATTACATTAGTGACAGTTAATCGTGTTCTGGTAGACCTGGCTTAAATACCAAAGTTGGATCTGCTGTCTTTAGTCTTATCTGTTTTGATACCTTTCTTTCTCAGAGAAAGATGATTAATTGATTAATCATTAGATGGTTAATTGTTGGTTTTTGAATAGACTTTTTGGGAGCAGTTTCCCATTCACAGCAGATCAGAGTAGAAGGCACAGAGATTGCCTTTACTCCTTGGGGCTGTGGGATCTTGTTTGTGAGATTCCGCCTGCTGTATCCTAACTTGTTTTGTTTTGGGTTTAACTTCATCCTTCCTGCTGACTTGGCCCCATTAGATTCTACCTTGAACCAGACTGTAGAGAGTCTTGTAAGGCCAACCTGCCTTCATAGCTAAAGAAATAAAATTGAGAGGAAGGATCTTTGGAAAGGAGTTTGAGGAGATTTGGTTTGATGTAGACAATAGATTGGAAAGGAACACTTGGGAGAAAAGCCTGTGGGGAGCTGAAGTGAGAGTCCAGTTGCACTGGGAAGAGACTCTGGACTGGGCTGTAAGCCACGAGGACAAGATGGGAAAGGATAAGGCAGAAAATTCGACAGTATAGTAAGACCTGGTGCAGATGCCACAGGAGAGGCAGGACATGCTGTTTTGAATGTGGAAGAAGAGTTCATACTGAAGGCACATTAGCAGGGGTCAGCCTCAAAAAGTTGTATACGCACATTTTTAATCAGAATCCTAAGGGGTTAAAAAATGGTAAAGAGATTCCTAATTAGAAAACTTATAATAGGTAAGAATGAGAAAAGTTTGGAAGAAGAATGTTTCATGAATGTTAATCCATAAATGTTGAGTCTGCTGTATATGTAAGATAAAACTATTAAAACAGCACAATATTAATATAAAACTTGATGACCAAATCAGTGGAACAGAAAAATGAACCAGAAGGATATGCTATCCTGGGCTACATAAAGATCCACGTATAATGAAGGCTGAAGCCACACGGGTCCATGGGGGTGCAGGGCTGGAACAGAGACTCTCATGGAAAAAGGCATTTAGTTTTTGTTTATATGACAAAGTAAGCTAGACATCAATTGTTAAAAAGATATAATACGAAAAGAAGATACAAAGAAGAAAACGAGTGGATTTTCTATCGTGTTCAGATTGGAAATGTTTTTCTAAGCATAGAGTGATAAAAGAAATTTTTGAGGAAAAGATGAATCGATATGCATATAAAAGTAAAAAACCCAATAATTTCTATATGTGAAATAACTCAAAGTTAGTGTAGTTGGTGAAAAATATTTTTATGAACATGAAAGATAAATGATACTCTATTATTTTTCTTAATCAAGGGAAATTTAAAGCAAGTTGATGGGAACAAATTACTTTTTCAGTAAAATTTGGACAGTGTACTTGAAGTATGAAAAAGCTTATAAGTGTGAAAAAAAGGTTCATCCTTTCATAACTGAGGAATTAGCATTTAAAATAACAAAAACCCAGTTTTCATTGGTCTAAATAGCATAGTAGAAAAAGCACCCAATACACTCTCCTCCCCCACAAATCCCCTCATTCCTCTGCTTAACTCCACATATCAGAAGTTGGCAGAGTCCTGGAGATCAGGTTGCCAGTAGGTATTAAAAACCTTGGATGTTGGACTGGAGAGATGACTCAGCAGTTAAGAGCACTTTTTGCTCTTCCAGGGGACCTGGGTTCCGTTTCTAGCACCCACGTGGTGGCTGTTAACAGTCTATAACTTTAGTTCTAGGGAACCTGAGGCCCTCTTCTGGTCTCTGCAAGCACTGCTCGCATGTGGTGTACCTACATACTTGAGGCAGAACACTTATACACAGAAAAAAAATCTTTAAAAAGGAACTTTAATGTTCTGGCTATAGATATAGCAGTTCTACCCTGATGAATTCCTTTAAGGTGTTAATCAGAAAGTAGGCAAAAACTTATAAAGAGAGTAGATTTTCATTGTGATATTTCTTGTAATAAACATATAGTCAACAGCATAACTTTCTGCAGTAGAGGGACCCCTTAAACGTATGTTTATTATAACTCGTGATGGTCATTACACAGCTCTAAGATGCTAAGACTTAAAGAAGTCTTTCTTTAAAGATTAGACGCAGTTACCTTTTGAGTGATAACACTTTGAGAATTAACAAGTTCAGTTCCAAATGCCTAGATCTGGCAGGTAATTGTAAAGATATATATGTGAAAGAGAAGAAAACAGTCTCTTAAAATTTGTTTTGTTTTGAAGCCAGGTATGGTGGTACACACCTTTAATCCCAGCACTGGGGAGGCAGAGGCAGGCGGATCTGAGAATTCAAGGCCAGTGCAGTCTACATAGTGAGTTCCAAGTCAGCTGGAGCCACAGGGAGACCCTGTCTCAAAAAGACCAAAAAAAATTTTGTTTTAATTTTTTATGTTGTCTTATGTAGACTAGCTGGCCTCAAACTGGATATGTAGCGCAGGGCGACCCTGAACTCCTGATCCTCCTGCCTCTAATTTCTGAGTGGTAGCATTACAGATATGTGCCACATCCTCAGCTTAAATAGGTTCTTTTATTTTTTTTGACAGTTTGCTGTGTAGCCTAGGCTGCTCTTGACCTCCTGATCTTCCTGCCTCACCTTCTCATGCTGAGTTTACAAGCATAGATACTATGTACAGACTCTTAGAGCCACAGGAATAAAGTAATTTAAAAAATTTGAAGTAAATCTTATACTCAAAATAAAATATCATATACATCATTAATAATCAGAAACCCAAGATGTAAAAAAATAGAATTGCTTATACAAGCTAATAAAGCACATATAGCTGGGCGTGGCAGCTACACCTATGTTCCTAGCTACACAGGAGGCCAAGGCAAGAGTATCACTTGAGCCTAGGAGTTTGAAGCTGGCCTGGGCAACTTAGCAAAACCCCAGTCTCAAAAATACATACAAAGTAAAGCACACACAATTGCTATATTTAACAAGTGGGGCATAATATAGTCCTGTTGCATTGTACCTGCAATAAAATTACACCTTAATGAATTGTTATGAATTTTACATCATCTGTGAATAAGAGAGTCCGTGCTAAATAGACCAGTACCACCATTTACAATATAAATACACATAGATATTCAGTGTTATCAATTATATCTGAAGATAGCACATACATGCAGGTTAAATAAAGACTGGAAGGAAGTACATGTTCATAAATGTATCTGGTATATATAGGGCTGTTGTGGTTGACTTTCTCATATGTTTTTTTCTCAATTCTTTAAATTTTTTTTATATATAACCAATTAAAAACCAATTAACCATCTTAAAAAGTGCTACTTGCATATAAGATATTTATTTTTCTGGCCCTTAAGAAGTGCATGCTGCTTGCTTGTGGAGGCGTCACAAAAGGCTCAGCTCCAGAGCCAAGCCACTTAAGCTTGAACCCAGCACAGGAACAGGGAGTCTGGAGTATTCAGGCAGGTGATAGTTTTCTTCCTTATTCTTCCTTTTCTTCCTTATCCTCTTGGTAAAAAGAACGAATATTTTTGGATGATCCCATCTTTGGCATTAAAGTTAAAGAACAGGGCATAGCAATCACTGGGCATTTAAACCTGCGTTCTTCTTCCAGGAGACAGACAAGAAAATGACAAAGAGAATCTAAATTTGGAAAATCACAAGGACCAGGAGCATCTGGATGTTTCCTGTCAGGCATCAGGGGAGGCACCACCACAGACTGCCCTGAGGGATTTCTTCAGTGAGGGTGAGCCAAGGTGCTTTGGAGGAGAGACACTCCCTGAGGCTCTGGAGAGCCTTCAGGGTGAGGGGACAGGGGCACAGCTCTTTCCTCATGAAAGGAGCCCTGGGAAGCAGCTAGGTCAGCATATACCTAGTCCTCCTTCGGGAGAGCTGTCTGCCTTGTGGCTTGAGGAGAAGAGAGAGGCCTTTCAGAAGGGCCAGTCCAGAGCCCCCATGGCCCAGAAACTGCCCACCTGCAGGGAGTGTGGGAAAACCTTCTATAGGCACTCACAGCTTGTTTTCCACCAAAGAACTCATACCGGAGAGACATACTTTCAATGCCCCATTTGCAAAAAAGCCTTTCTACGAAGCTCAGACTTTGTGAAACATCAGAGAACTCACACAGGAGAGAAGCCCTGTAAATGTGATTACTGTGGGAAAGGCTTTAGTGACTTCTCAGGATTGCGACACCATGAGAAAATCCACACGGGAGAAAAACCCTATAAATGTCCCATCTGTGAGAAGAGCTTCATTCAGAGGTCAAACTTTAATAGACATCAAAGGGTTCACACAGGCGAGAAACCGTATAAATGTACCCACTGCGGCAAAAGTTTCAGTTGGAGCTCCAGCCTTGACAAACATCAGAGATCCCACTTGGGAAAGAAGGCCTGTTCATAGTCACGCCCTCAACCAGCCTGTCCCCTGTCCATTGAAGCCATGCTCAGCTCGACCTGGAGGAATGTGCTCCGAAAGGATCCAGCTTCTTTTCATGGGTTAGAGGGAGAGGAACTGGACACTTACTGTGGATGTGGAAAGCATATTGGTTTCTGGGTTGAATTTTATGGTAGTTTTAGTTTCTTGCTTCTGAACCCGGAGGAAAAGTAGCCTATGTTTCAGCTCATCTTGTTTTGGACCCCTTGGGAAAGACACGTCACAGAAATAATGGTTTAAACAGTGCTCTGGAGAGAGTTTAACTGGAGTTGTGGGTAGAACCTTGATTAGCTCTTTAGAATTGGTGTTCTAGAGCAGATGTGGAGGGCCTATGAGCACATGGATTTTCTTTGTCAGGTGAAGAAAATTATGTTTTAAGTATCCTTTTTTGTCTTTTTTCTTCTCTTTGTTTTTTTGTTTAAATAGGGTCCCACTATTTAACTCTGGCTAACCTGGAACTCTATGTAGACCAGGGCTTTGAACTCACAGAGATCTGCCTGCTTCTGCCTCCCAAGTGCTGGGATTAAAGGTGTGTGCCACCACATTTGGCTTAGTAATCCTGTATTTGAAATAAATGGAGCTGAGTTCATCTCTATCTTATTTGTATCTCATGTGTTCACTGTGTGTTGACTGTCGCTTCCAAGCATGTGTTTTTCATACAAGAGCCTGCGTGACAGCTGAACTCCAAGACCAGCCCACAAAAGCACCAGGCAGGTTTGTAACATAGCAGAACAGTAATGGGAAGTTCTAACCTGAGGTCCAGGTTGTGAGAGCATGACCCTTGCTGGGCACACCTTCGTCTCAGCTGTGAGCCTGTTTCTGACATCCCTCTTCAGAGCCTGCTGCCACTTGATCACATACATGGCACAAGCATCCCCACTTTCTCTTGGCATCCTACTTGGGCTATCATTTTTGCTAGAATGCTTTATGTTTAAAATTTATCTTTATTAACTTATTTTGCCTGTAGGGTGTTAGGAAGAATCAATAGTATCGACCTAGTTTTTAATACTGTCTAGAGGTTTATTAACACACACACACACACACACACACACACACACACACACACACACACGCACACACACTCATACAGCTGAACCTGTACAATTGTCCTTGCATTCAAAAGTAGCATGTCTCTAAGTTTCCTGCTCCAGTGTAGTGACACTTTCATCCTCAACAACCAAGGCACTCTTGCTTGATCTTGTTGACCAGTTCAGAGTGAGGATCAGGAAGTGACATGCTAATGAGAAGGACCTAGCTAGATGCTGTTCCACAGTGGGAAGTCCTCATTTGAGAGAGGAGGGGCAAAACAAGTTGGGTTTCCTAGATTCCAAGAAGCATTTGTTACCTCCATTACAGCTTGCACATAAGGAGTAAAGGGGATGCAGGGCCCAATGGAAAGCCAGCTGGAAAACAGTGGAGGAGCTGGTGTTGGAGTGTGTTGACAGCAGAGATGATAGAAGAATGAGATTGGGAGTTTAAATTGGGTTCTCAAGGCAGCCGCCAAAGCAGCAGCAGTGGCATATTCTTAAACTTACTGAGTCAGAAATTCTGCAGGGTGGGATTCAGCAAGATTTGCTTTAACAAGCCCTTCAGGGGATTCTGGTGTTTGCTCTAGTTCAAGAATCACTGATCTAAATAGTAATTAACTAAAAAAATGAAATCTGCAAGGATACAAGGGAGCAGTGCTCCAAGCCCACCCCTGCTCTCCTTTCCAAACAGGTCACCTCATGGAGCTCTTTGAAATCCATCAGAACTGCAGAACCCTTTGCTTTCCTCTGGACATTTGTTCCACAGTTAAAAAGTGTTAGGGGAAGCGAGTCTCCTTGGGTCTCTTGGGAACGATGCACAGAATAACAGAGCTAACTGGAAACAGCTGCATGCATGATTACAGTTGTGTCCTCCGCAAACAGATGTAAAAATGTATTTAGTAGATTTGTGAGTTAATCAAAGATCAGTATTAATTGTATACTTTCCTCAACCTCTATAGCTGAGATCTTGTTTTTGTAAATACTTGTTTTGTGAATATTCATTTACATATCGTCTCAGCTACTTTGGGCTCAAATGGCAGAGTAGTTCAAGCCAAGACAGTGTGGTTTGCAGAACCTTAAGTATTTACTCTCTGGCTCTGTAGGGAAAAAAAAAATCGATCCCCCCCCCCAATCTAGGGTAACATTTCTTAATCAAATAGTGATATGCATGAAAATTGTCCAGAAGCTGGTAAATGGGATTCTGATTGATGAGTGATCCCTGTGCCTTGGTACCTGGGAGCTAGAGCACCAAGGACAGTGCTGTGGAACAAGGTCTGGGCTCGTTTGTAGTTGGTTTCTCTTGGTCTCCACCATCAACGTGACTCAGCAGTTCTCAGAACCTGGCCCAGTTGAATAAATCCTTTTATTGGAAAAGATTCGCGACTACAGAATTCTCCCATCATTCTTAGGCCCACTGGCTAGCTCACCCTCACTTTAGGCTCCTTAGGTCTACTACAGAAATTCAGTGCTCAATGATTTAGCATCTGCCGTCACCCCTCACCCACCTGTCCTGTTAGGGAACGTCCATCCAGCCTCCTCCCTTGTTCCCCAGGGCCTGCAGGAAACTAAACTTGGAGAAGCAAGGCGACACCAGCCAGAACCCACTTAGATGGGTTTTCCTTAGTCTTTAGGTTGAAGGTCCACACGTAGGTGGGTCCCCGCTGACAAGTCTTGTACACAGGACAAGCATAGATACTGCGGCGATCCTGCTTATCTGCTGGGATGGCCTTGAGGAACATCACAGGCATGGGGGGTGTCAGGTCCTTCAGCTTCGCCTCTGTAACGATTCCAGCCTGATGACAAGACCATGAGGAGACCCATCTTAGATCAGAACCAGAGCCCAGCCAGCCAGCCAGCTTTGCTCCTGTCAGAAGATCCAGGAGGATCTGGGATGTCGTGCCTGCCTTTCTACCTGGTGTTCTGACTTCTCTCAGTAACCACACTGGAAGGTATCTCATACTTGGAAAACACTTAAAAAAATTTTTTTTTTTTAATTTGATGTGTGAGTGTAATGCCTGCATGTAGGTAGGTGCACCTATGTCGTGCAGTGCCCTCGCAGGTCAGAAGAGGGCATCGGATCCCCTGGAACTGGAGTTATAGATGGTCGTGAGCCACCATATGGGTGCTGAGAATTGAACACAGATCCTCTACAAGAGCAGCCAGTACTCTAACTGCTGAGCTGTCTCTCCAGCTCTGGAAAACACATTTCTGTCTTTTCAGCATAAATCATTCTTTTGCTTGCTTGAAATGATCTCACTGTGTAACCTAGGCTTAAAACTCATGTTCCTCCTGCCTCGGCCTCCTGAGTGCTGGGATTGTAAACATGTGCCGCCACAACTGGCTTTAAGTCTTGTTGATGCTGAACTCCAAAAGCTCATTTATCATGTACAGATTAATCCCTCTGCAGCTTGATTCCCCCTTGGTTTTACATTTTTAGATATTCATTTCATTAAAATATTGAGGGCAACTATTTGGCAAATGCCATGCTAGGTGCTGGGGACGTAAGGAGGAAGAAGGCACAGTTTCTGCCAGTAAATATTTTTAGTTTTAAGGTTATGGTTATACCATTGCTACCTCTTTTATGTTTCCTATGCCACCTCATCCACTTCTAGAGCATTTCAAATGTTGGTGCAGGGAGCGACAGTTTAATTAAGGATAAGGAAAGATCTTAACCATTTTGTAGCTTTTCACATGCAACTGACCTGTGCTTTCCTGAGAAGTCTCACTAGACTTATCTTTAGTTACTGTTTACTTAGCTACAGAATTTCTACTACTGGTTCTAAGAAATGTTCCCAGGAACAAGAGAGCCCTTGGCCACATAAATTTGGACTTGAGGCAAACACACTGAAAACAGAAAGTTCTAGAGTAAGGAAGACACTTAACTGTTTAACTGACTCGTTTCCCAATGAGTATCCGTGGCTTGACCATGGGATACTTCACGTGTTCATTTCTTGTAGTGCTGTTTTTTGGGTGCTGAGTGTTTTAACACGTTATCCTTTGGGGAACACTGATCCAGAGTGATTCCCTGATTTCTCACTTCTGCCCATGTGACCCCATCCTCCTCTTATTATAGACAGAATTTGATTCATTTTCATGCGTTGTATTGAAAGGAAAGGATGTATCTTTTTAGTTCTTTCAGCAGCTGATAAAAGCCATGGTGAGTGACAGCTAGCACATAGTGGGGACCACTTGTCCTCAGAACTGAGTGCTTATGGTGAGGAGTATGGGAAGAGTAAGACTAGGCTTTTTTAGACATTTAAAAATGTTTTTATTAGTTTAAAATATTTTAAAATTTCTGTGTATGAATGTATTGCCTGTATGTATGTAAGCACACTCATTTTGTGCAATACCTGCAGAGGTCAGAAGAGGGCATTGGATCCCCTGGGACTGAAGTTATAATAAGACAGTTGTTAGCTGCCATGTGGGTTCTGGGAACCGAACCTGGGTTCTCTGCAAGAGTAGCCAGTGCTCTTAACCACTGAGCCAATTCTCCAGCCCCTATTTTTATTAGTTTTTAAAATTTTGTGTATGTGTGTATGTTCATGTGAGTGCGATGCCCATAGAGGCAATAAGAGGGCATTGCATCCCTGGAGTTGGAGTTATAGGTAGTCAGCCACCCAAGGCGGGTACTGGGAGCCTAACTCTTCTTTTAGAAGAGCAGTGAGCCCTCTTAACCTCTGAACCATCTCTCTAGCTTAGACTTTTTTTTTTTGTTGTTAACATACTGTAAAACTAGACCTCTTAGGTATAAAATTCAGTGTTTTTATTACGTTGACAAACATGTGCAGTAATTACCAATCTCTAATTCCAGTTTACTTTCATAACCCCAGAAAGAAACTCAGTAACCGTTAGTTTTCCATTAGCACTGTGTATTAACAGCTGTCTGTCAGACTGTTCGAATGTACATAGTAACCTGTCTGATTTTCACTTTTTATTTTCCCATTTAAACAGTTTGGTCAATGGAGATCTTGAGAGGTAATGCTGTACCAGGGCCAAATGGTTCATAAATGGTGGTGCTGAGAGTCAGATTCCACTAGTCCGTTTCCATAGGCCTCATTTTTTTTTTTTTGGTCTTTTTTTTTGGATCATTTTTGAGACAGGGTCTCCCTGTAGCCCCAGCTGTCCTGGAACTCACTATGTAGACCAGGCTGGCCTTGAATTTAGAGAGATCCACCTGCCTCTGTCTCCCGAGTGCTGGGATTAAAGGTGTGCACCACCACACCCAGCACACAAGCCTCATTTTTAAGCACACTCTCCTCCCTCTTTAGAGCCCCTGCTCTTTGCACCATCCTTGACTAGATAAAAATGGGGTCAAGGAAAAACAGACCACCTAGGTAAAAAGATTCAGGAGCACCGCACTTAGCAGTCAATGTACATCAGTGCACCCCAAGATGCTTTTTGGCTTGTTCCCAGACCATACCTGTGTATCCCAGCGGGCACCTTCTATGAAGAGGCCGTGGATGTAGGCCCCTTCCCGAGGAGTATTCCTGACCTCCTCTCTGCTCTTCTTGGTCACGTCACATTGCAGGGCCATCTGGTCTAGTGGCCATTCATTCTTGCGTGCCGTGGACTGCATGATAGCAGTCAGGAAGGACTGCGGGTTGAAGAAGCCTGTCAGCCACACAGTGGAGGGCATCACAAAGTCACCTGTCCAGGCCTCCAGCTCCTTGATTCTGTTGAGGAGGTCCAGAAACCAGGCTGCCAAGCCTGCTGTGGAAGGGTAGGCTCGCCTAGCCCAGGGCTCTGGCACTGCATCTAGATACAGGGCATTCTGTAGGTTTTCCATGTTGCTGGTCATGGTCAACTCTCCCTGAAGATCAAGAGTGGGAGGAGAAAGAGTAAGGGGCAGAAGTTTCTGGAAGCACTAGTCTCCTCTGGCTCATGGGTGGGAGATGACTCCAGTCAGCAGTAGGGGCCACAAGGATGGTCCTGGTCTCATACTTAGTTTTCCTCAGTCCTTTAGGGGCTAGAGAGATGACACAGTGGTTAAGAGCACTGGGCTGTTCTTGCAGAATACCCAGGTTCGAATCCCAGCATCCACATGTGGCTAACAACCGTCTGTAACTCCAGTTCCAGGGGATCCAACACCCTCTTCTATTCTCCAAGGGCATTGCATGACATGGATGCATTTGCATACATGCACAATACATGCATATACAGAAAATAAAAAGGCAAAAAATTAAAAAAAATAGAATAAAAAAGCTGGTCCTTTAAACATGCCCAGTGCCCTCTGCTGCCATTTTCCAAATGCCATTCATGAAAAGGAATCATTATAGAAGAAGAGATCATGAGTTTGAGGTGTGGAGGGGTAGGGCGGGGATAGACAGGAGGTGGAGGTTGGAGAAGGAGAGGTGGAAATGATGTTAATACAGTACTCATACAGGGAATCCTCCAAAAAAAAAAAAAATGAAGGACTAAGAATCAGGTGATAGATAATGAAGAGAAAGCTGCTGCTGTAATGTGTTGTTGCCCTGCGAGGCCTGGGCAGCACAGATGAGTTGGGGCCTAGTGGCATAACTGGGTGAGGCTGCAACAGTAAGTCAGGTGAATTCAGCAGCTTCTCCATGGGCGGGCAGCCCGCCTCTGGCTAAGAGCTGAGAAAGACCTACTATAAACTGGATTGTATCCTCCCCAAAGGACACACTGAAGTATGACTCTCATATATGACTGCACTGAAAAGACCTCCATAGACATTTAGGTTAAATGAAGATCTAAGACTTCAGTGCTAATCTGATGGATCTGTGGCCTTAGAGGAAGAGGAAGAAATCCCCTTCCACCCCTTTTCTCTATCCTTGCCATTCAAGGATGGAGAGAAGGTGCTGTCTGTAAGCGCAGAAGACATCCCTCATCTGTCCAGAACTGAGACATCTCTGTTTAAGCTGACAGTCTGGTGTTTTGTTAAAGCAGCCTGTGTTAAGATAACCCTGGAGAAGAGAATGAGGAAAGAGGTCAGTGGGAAAAGTAACTGCAGTGGACTTAAGAAAATGACCTTAAGAGCTGGGATTTGTATATCTCAGTGATTAAGTACCTAGGATGTACAAGGCTCTACACCCAGGTACCATCAAAACACCTTTGAGAGCTATAGGCCATTTTAGGAAAGATAGCTTTAATTTTAGGGGCTTTAATGGGAAAATACCTGTTATCCTCCTTAGCAAACACAGCTACAAGGCAGAGCCTTACCTTCTGCTCATCTTACACCACAGTCCCCAATACAGATGCATTAGACTGGAGTGCCTGCTATGACAGTCACTAGTTACCTGGTTATTTCAGTGTAAATCAAGTAAAACTTTGATGAAGTTAAGATTTCCATTCCTGGGGCTGTATAGCTCAGTGGTAGAATGCTTGATAAGTGTGTGTATGTGGCTGGGGGTGGGAGTGTCTTCTAGGTTCCTGTCCCAGTACAGGAAAAAATCGCATTCTAGTCCTGTTGGCCACGTTTCATGTGACCAGTTGCCACATGTAGCCTGGTAGATGTGGAATGTCATTGCAGGAATTCTCAGGCAGCACTTCTGAGTGCTCCCCAGATGGAGTGTTCCCTTCCATCTGTCAGTAATGGAAGTGTAGATGTATGCTTCTGTCAAGGCATGCTGACAATTCTGTACGCTACAACTATATACAGCTGGCCTGGAACTTACTATGTAGACCAGGCTGGTTTTGAACTCAGAGATTCACCTGCTTCTGCCTCCTGAGTGTTGGGACTAAAGGCGTGTGCCACCACACCCAGCTTGTATGCTACAGCTTTAATTAAAAGTTTAATGTGCCCATAGTATCACCATTTCCTTGCCAATCTGGTTAAGACAATGGGTTTGAAAGTTCCAAAAGATACAGGCCACATTTGATTTTTTCCTTTAAAGATTTTCAATGGCCAATTCATTTCCATAGTGATGAAATGCTTTTATAGGGGCTGGAGAGATGGCTCAATGGTTAAGAACACTGCTTCTTGTAGAAGACCTGGGTTTGAATCCTAGCATCCACATGGCAGCTAACAACTGTCAGTTAACTCCAGTCCCAGGGGATCCGACAGCCTCTTCTGACCTCCTCAGGCACTGCACAACATGGGTGCACTTATCTACATGCAGGCAATACATGCATACACATAAACTAAAGATTAATAAATAAAAGTTAAAAAATGCTTTTATAAATATCATAGCAAAAAATATAATGGTGTGTGTGTGTGTGTGTGTGTGTGTGTGTGTGTGTGTGTGTAAAATTTCACAGCCCAGGCTGGCATCCAATTCAGCTTCCTGGGTGCTGGGTGTACAGGTGGACACCACCATGCCTGGCAAATAATGCTGTTAAATTTGCTTCTCCATAGAACTGTTTTGTGTTTTATGAAGTTTGGGTGTATCCACGGAAGTTCTTGTACATAGGAAGGCCATCTGTCACGTGAACTGATGGAGGATTTATCCCATACTGTGACCCTACAGGACTCCTAAAAGATTGCCAGGGCACAGACTGCTGGCAGTACTGAAGTATGGTGAAAATGCTGTGGTCCTCTGGTGTCCTACTTTGAGGACTATGCCACTCCAGACACTGCTGTCCTTTGCTTATACAGAGAACTCCTTTGTTCCTGGCTATCTCCCTGAGCCAAGTCAACAACTTAGTCTGTTTCTGGGCTTCAGTGAGGCCACATAAACCAACTCTATCAGTTTTGTTATATGAGGGCATTATGTGTTTACTATTAAAATAAGTGCAACAGGGCTGGGGATATGGCTCTAGTGGTAAAACATTTGCCACACAAGCATCAGGACCTAAATTCAATCCCTAGAACTTGCATTAAGAAGCCAGGCATGGCAATGTGTGCATCTAATCCCCGTGCAGGGGAAGTGGAGACAGATCCCTGAAGTTCTCTAGACAGCCTAGTGTAATTGGCTAGTTCCAGGCCAATGAGAGGCCCTGTCCCAAACAAATGAGAGATGGCTCCCAAGGGAGGATACTCAAAGTGGACCTCTGGTTCCTACATGCATGTGCATGTGTACTCCACTCCCCATACTCATGCATCCACACAGACCTCCCTGTTACACAGATGTATAACAGCAAAGGAGCTATGCTGTATGATACTCTGACTGTGTGTATGTGCTGTCCAAACCCATGGAAAGGACAACACTGAGAGTGCCCCATGTGAACTATGGCCTCTGGGTGACAGTGGTATGTCTCTATGGTTCATCAGTTGGAATGAATGCACCCTGGAGCAGGGAGATGTTAAGAGCAGTATGTGCTGGACAGAAAGAAGTGTCTGTACCTTTTGCTTACTTTTGCTATGAACTAAAAACTGTTCTAGAAAGAGAAGGCCCTTTTTAAATAAATTTTTATTTATTATTTAAATTTTATGTGTATGAGTGTATTGCCTACATGTAAGTGAGTGCACCCATGTCGTGCAATGCCATGGAGGTCAGAAGAGGGCTTCAGATTCCCCTGGAACTGGAGTTAAGGATGGTCTGCCATGTGGGTGCTGGGAATTGAACCCAGGTCCTTTGCAAGAGCAGTCAGTGCTCTTAACCGCTGAGCCATCTCTCCAGCCTGAGAAGGCCCATTTTTTAATGCACTGTTTAATTCTTAATACCCTTCAGAAAGCTAAACTCATTTTGACGGGAGAGGAACATATAATATGTAACTTGACTTTCTTAAAAATTTCTCATATCTGCCTTATAATTTATTCTGACAATAATTTTGCACTTACTAATTGAATGTCTAAGCAAGGGAAACTTGAAAAATGGACTGCTTCTTGGGTTTTTCCACTTTGCCAAGGAGGAATAACAGGAAGAGAAGTCACATTGTAGTTTGGTTTCAGAACCCAGGTATTTTCATGACCTTGAGCATAAGTAGAAAGGTTTTATTTATTTTTATTTTTGGGGGGGAGTCTTTTTGAGACAGGGTCTCTTTGCAGCCCCAGCTGGCCTAGAACTCACTATGTAGACTAGGCTGGCCTTGAACTCATAGATCCACCTGCCTCTGCCTCCCCAGTGCTGGGACAAAAGACGTGCATCACCGCACCTGGCGAAAGTTTTTATTTTTATTCATTTTGACTTTTTTGATCTTTTGTGTGTTTGTTTTACCTGCATGGCTGTAAGTGCACTACATGCATGCAATGCCCATGGAAGCCAGAAGAGGGTGTTGGATCATCTGGAACTGGAGTTACAGGCAGTTATTAGTCATCATGTGGGTGCTGGGAACCAAACCTAGGTCTGGAGGAGCAGTATGTGCTATTAAACAATCTCTCCAGCTCCAAGGTTTAATTTTTAAATGGATGGAAGAGATGGGAAGCAACAAGAGAAGCCCTCCACCAATTCAGCAAGTGTACTTGTGGCCCCCTTCTTAGAAATAGAGGAGTACATCTAGAGACTCTAAGTCAACTATTCCTGAGAGGTATTCAGAAACAAAAGTTTCCTAAAATGCTGCCAGATTGATGGAGGCTGGGGCAGGTGGACAGGAAGATTCTGTGGCCACTCCTTGAGCACCAGAGCCCTTCTTTTTAGAAATATGTTTAGTTTTCAGATTATGAATGGGTGTGTTCATGTGTGTAGTGCCCACAGAGGCTAGAAGAGGGTGTCTGATAACCCTGAGCTTGAGTTACAGTCAGTTGTGAGCTGCCGTATTCACCCTGGATGTTGGGACCCAAACCTGGGTCCTCTGCAAGAACAGTATGTATTCTTAACCACGGAGCCATCTTGCCAGTTCCTACCAGGGCCCTTAATTTTGGTACAATTAAGAAAAACCTGCGTACATTCATTCAAGCCCATGTTTTCCAACCTTTTCTAGCCCAGATCTGCACAACACCGATTAGTATCTGTATTTACTTGTTCACAATTTTGGCCACAGAAAACTTAAAATGCTGGCTCATCCATCCATCAAACAATCCTGCATTTCAAGGTTCTGTGACAGGTTTCTTGGTTTCCACAGTGCAAGGGAAACTGAGAGAACTACAGCCTGTGTGGGACTTTTTCCTGGGTATGATAAAGGCTGGCTGGCTGTGGCTTTTACTTCCTTATTCATCTCTATAAGTAAATGCTTTCATAATCTTTCTTTGGTACAATAAAGTGAAAACTTTATTTTTTCTATAGGCCTTCATTCCTTTAAGTCAGGAAACTTGTTAGAAGTTAGATTCATAGGCTGGCATCCAAAGCTAATGACTCAACCCCAAGAGGAGGTGGGTGAAACCAGGAACCTCTGTTTGGAAGATCATTGGTAGCAGCTGCTTTGCCAGGTTGTTGTCACACAATAGCAGCAGCATTTAGTCACAGAGGATGGGCTGGGGGGTGCAACTCTAGGTATTCTGTCCTTGAGGGCTTCATGCCATATCCAATTTTGAGGGTCACAGTCAGCTCCTTTCCACTATCTCGTCCCAGGAAGATGCTCTTTGTAACTAGTGCTTTTTTTCCTCCCTCTTGTGTTGGGGACTGAACTTAGGGGCTCACACATTCTAGGCAAGCACTATACCACTCAACTACATCTCCAGCCCTTAGTGTTTTGAGATAGAGTCTCACTACCTAGCTTAGACTGATCTTGAATGTGTAATCTTCCCACCTTCCAAGCGCAGGGATTGCAGGTGTGTGTCATTATACCTCGCCACTAACTTTCATTTATACAAGACACCCAGAGAGGGCAGGCCATAGAGTGGTAAGGGTCCCACCTCTTCCAGTCTGGCTTCCATATTGAGGCTGGCAGAAGCTTGCTCATCAGGGTCTCTGATAGAGAACAGGATGCCCAAAGGCCCTGGTCTGGAGCAGCTGCCCAGTGGGCAATGATCAAAGAGTCAAGGCAAAATGCCCCTCCCAGTGTTGGAAGTCAATACAGTGCATGGGAGTCAAGGGCCAAAGTCAGCAAGCCAGGCTTCGCATACACGTATTCAGAAACACTAAAGCATAGACGGTGGAGTGGGGGAACAAAATCCAAGGTTGCCGTCAACCTTTGAATAGTATAAAGTAGTTCCCAAGAATGCCCAGATGCCAAGGTGCCATGGCTCCGTCTCAAGTAGTCACTGTTCAAGCAAAATGGAAGCCATGTAGGTAACTGGTGATTTTCTGGCATCCACAGTTCAAACAGTAAAACGGGCAGGCTCAATTTTCCTAATGTGTTTTGTTTAACTCAATATACTTAAAATACCATGGTGCACTTACATGTAGGTAAAATACTCATAACACGAAATAAAAAATTATTGACATATTTTACATTTTTATTGTCTTTAATTTTGAAATCTGGTGTACTTTACCCATACAGCACATTCTAATTTTGACTAGCCACATTTCATGTGTTCGATAGCCCCCGGCATTAGTGTCTATTGTATTGAGCAAGTTGAAAAACTCAGATTCCCATGTTGGTTTACTACCCGAGTAGAGAATTTTCTGGGTACTCTTTTTTAAAAAATACTTTATTTTTATTTTATGTGTATGAGTGTACTATTATCTGCATGTATGTAAGTGCATCCGTGTCATGCAGTGCCCACGGAGGCTAGAAGAGGGTGTCAGATCCCCTAGAACTGGAGTTATGGACAGTTGTTATCCACCCTGTGGGTGCTGGGACTCAAACCTGGGTCCTCTGTAAGAGTAGTCAGTGCTCTTCAACACTGAGTGATCACTCCAGCTCCTGGGTACTCTTCCATAAGTATCTGCCCCTTTGAAAATTACAGTAGTTGTAAATCGGAAAAAAAAAGAAAAATCAGCCTTTGGGGGTTTTATAAATCAGGCCTTTGTGCATTTGCTCAGAACACCTTAGAAGGCTGAGAGCTAAGAATGTCTGACAGTAGTGAATTCCCAAGAGAAATCTTGTCTGTAGGGATATATCTGTGGCTAGCTGACAACCCCCCCAGCCCTCTTGACTGCCCTGTCCTAACCCCCACTTCTGTGTGCTTTGAGCTCCCACAGGCCTGCAGGGCCTGATCCTTCTGTGCCTCACAGCTCTAACTTTCTGGGTAGATAGAGTCTCTAGCCAGTCACTTCTGAATTGCTTTGAATAAAAAAATAATAAAGCTAAGAGTATTAGTGCTTGGTTAATGCCTCAAAGAGTTAGGCATTTTCTAATTGTGGTGTTCAGTCTGGGTGGGGCACTTCCGTTGGCTTGTGTGACATGCTGGGGGACACGAGCTGCCTACTCTCTCTTACACTGAACCAGAAACAGCCTTGAATTGTAAAGTGGCTGCTAAAGAGAAATAAAAGGCAAAAAAGGGAAAAGTCAAGCAGAATTTCCTCTCTTCTCTGCCGGGTCAACAGGTCAATGAAGCCACACATGAAAAGTTTGGAGCCACATTTCCCCATTGATCCATCTAACAGGCATTGGTGTTGCCTACTTCTTACCTGCCGGCCCGGGAAGTCCTCCTGTCTCAGCCCCCTCCTGGCGCTGGCCACCTCCTTGCCCACTGTTTCGCAGAAGCCTGTCTGTCTCGGCCACCTTTCTGGCCTTCCCCTCTCCTCTGCTGTTTCTCGCTAGCTCAGCTTCCCTCTTCCTGAAGCCCAAATGCTTTCTCTGCTTTCTCTGCTCTGAATCATGCTGCCATTTCTGTGGACCCTCCACTTTGCCATGGATGGCGTCTTCTGCTTTCCCCATCCCTTCTTCCTTTGTGCTGTGCTTCATGCTGCACTCATCCCAGGGACTGCTGGGGCTGTTTACCAGACCTCACTGCAAAGTCAGCATGGAGGATTGCAGGACATGAAGGTGGAGATGGGAGTGTGTTGTGAGTCAGATGATCAGGCCAGTCGTCATGAAACTGGGTTTCCTGATAGGATTCTGATTGGAGAATGCTCTGCCCCCAGGTCACACAGGGTCCTCACTACGTCTAGGTCATTGTGCTATCACCTTCTAGAAGTTCATCGTATCACTCTTGCTCAGCTGAGTAGGCCCTTTGCTTTTGGCAAAGTAGTTACGCCCTTAGAGCAGGTTCTGGGGCCCTGTGCACTGACCTCTATTAGTCTCCTCCCCTTTGTCCCCAACTGTCCCCATCCACCTTTCCTCAAAGGCCTCTCCAAGGCCTTTCTCTGGAGCCTTTTCTGATCTCACTGGACTGTTTCTCTTTCCCCTTCTAGTTTTGCTTTATGAATTCTGCCTTGTATTACAATCTGTCTTTGTATTGTTCCCCCAAGACTGTCCTGGAGGGGAGAGCCCACTTTCAGCCTCTTTACACCCTCCCCCAGAGCTCCAAGACTTGCCCAGATAGTCCATCAGTCAACTTCCCCCATCCCATCTCTGCCTAGGCATGCTCCATGATTCACTACAGGGAACCTCGGTGAAGGTTCTCAGAAGAAAAATGAGTGAATAAATTGGAAGTCGAGTGGGTAAATAACCTGCATCAAATTGCATGGATTCAATAAATGACTGCGGCAAACCCATTCAAGATAATTGCTACTATATACCAGAACGGAGATGCAGAATACGATATAGGCAAGGGCCTTGTTCATGGTTGGGATTATACTGTGCGATTTTGTATTTCACCTGATTATATGCTAGCATGGAATTTGGAAGCACCACCAAACACTGCCAGTCCTCAACAGCCCATTCCTGACTGATCTTCATTATTTTCCCCCACCTATATTGTGGGGAAGTGGGGAATTAAAAGAGGAAAAAAAATTTAAAAATCTAGATTTTGCATTGTGTTTCATAGTATCTTATGTGTCTACATTGGAAAATTGTTCTTATATGCACGTGACCATAGCTAAGTAATTCCAAAACCCAGCATGCTCCACACCTGGACTTTCAGGGCCTGGTTGAGCTGTCACTGGCTTCTGACTGACAGTTATATTATTATTTCTTAAGATGCTGGGGATTAAACCCAGGGCCTCATGCATGCTGGGCAAGCTCTACCACTGAGCTGACCCTCCAGCCTGAGGTTACAGTTCTTTTTTAAAACAATATTTTATTTATTATTTTATGTGTATGAGTGTTTTGCCTGCATGTGTGTAAGTGCACCTATGTCTTGCAATATCCACAGAGGTCAGAAGAGGCTGTCAGATCCCCTGGAACTGGAGTTATAGACACTTGTTAGCTGTCATGTGGGTGCTGGGAATCAAACCTAGGACCTCTGCAAGAGCAGCTAGTGCTCTTAACCACTGAGCCATCTCTCCAGCCCTGAAGTTACAGTTCTTTTATGTAAACATAAAGATGTGTAAGTAATTGCCAGTGGAAACAGCCTGTGCTGAAAAGCAGGGTGAGGGCTCAAGTATCATGTTAATTCTTTCAGATGTCTTCCATAGCCAGGCTCTGGCTTCTGTAGTATGACATCTCTGGGCATTTAGGTTGTTGAAAGAAAGTTGCTCCAGCTCCCAGACCCCTCATTGTCACTCTGTCCTTGTGGAGTCCAGGTATGTCCTCTTTCAATGTTCTTCCCCAACTCACATCCTCACTCACCTTTAAGCCGAGGTGCAGTTCCCGAAGTGAGCGCTGGATCTCTCTGGTAAGGATGTTCATACGTTCGCATTCCTGGAAGGCCACTACAATGTAAGGCGTGCGCTCCTCCACTTTGGCCATCAGCTCTGGGATATTAAACTCATCTGTCACCCGTTCCAGTATTTCTTCCAGAACGGCCTTGACCTGCTCCATGGCAGAAAACATGGGATTGAGAAGGGACTCCACCCTCCTTCAATGGGACCCTTTTGATAGCAGTCACCATATGACCTGCCGCCTTTCTCCTCATCACACCCTTGCCTGCTGGCTTAGGTTTGACCTCAGCACACTTCTCTCCAGAGGCTGACAGCTCCCCGTGATATGTGTGACTGGCTTAAAAAGATAAACACAGATGCCCTTCTAAGAATTGAGGCTTAAAAACTCTGAGGCTGACCCAGTTATCTGCAGAAATCAAACTGGAAAGCCTTAAGTAGACTTTGGCCTAAGATAGCTCTGGGATCATGTGATTGTGAAGCAATGAGCAGTACTTCCCGAATACACACGTGTATATGTGTGGCTGTATGTCTATGTGCACATAGACACAGGCTCTTCAAATTGGTGTTTCTCTCATCCTTGGATCCAGCCAATCATGGATCAAAAAACAAATACACATATGTTTCATCTTTTCTTACCTTGTCATCATTCTCTCAACAACACAGTACAAGTATTTACATAGCATTAGGCATTATAACTAATGTAAGGATGATTTAAGGTATATGAAAGGGACAAGGATGCAATTCAGTGATAGAGCACTTGCCTAGAATGCATGAAGCCCTGGGTGTGGTCCCCAGCATCATATAAATGCATTCAAGAGGATGTACCTAAGTTATATGCAAATACTAAGCCATCTACAAAAAGAATTGAGCATTTTGAACGTTGATATCCATGGGGTGAGGGGGGCATAGATACTCAGACATCTCTACCCCTAACCATACTGTGTTTCCATGAGAGAGTCTGTGGTTTCTATCTTTGAATTCTGGAAGAGGAATGATCATTTATCACTTAAATCTCCTCTTCCCACAATTCCTTTTCCTACACAAACTGTCAGCTAATTAGACCAGGAGAGACCAGGGTCTCTCTCTGGGAAAATTGGAACCAAGGTGCAGAGATTCTGGGTTATTTGGGGGCAAGCACTTAGAGGCTGAGTCTGCCATTTTCCAGTAAATGAGTAAGCCCAGGAGGTCTGACAGCAAAGGAAAGAAAAATGAAGCCGTGCAGACATAATGGCCATATGGCTAGCAGACTGGGAGGGAGGGTGTGGGAGGAAGAAAGCGTGCTAGCAAGCGCCAGCCCCTCCAGGTTGCTAAGAGCTGAGCTCCAGAGTCCAGTGACTGCCTGGGTTTTGTCTCCTTGCACATCTCTTTCCTCTTCTTCCAGGAGCAGGTCTCTATCTTCTTTGGGAAATCACCTCTTCCCCTGGGGACAGTCACTAGTTCTGGCCTCTCCTGACCCAAGTTAAACTGATTATATTCTCAGGAGCATGGAAGTTTGAGACCTGGAATACAAAGAGGCAGTGGGAGGAGGCATCTCCAAGGGCCATGCACTCTTAATCCTCCCTGGGGCCCTGGAGCCACTGAGCTTTCTTCCTCTTTTCTGTTGATGCATTTGACAAAATGAGCTAGTTTTTGCTTAGTTTAGCTGGATTGGTGTATGTTGCTTACAATCAAAGAGCCCTGCCTGACAAAGTTAATACAGTTCTCATGGGAATGCAAGCAAGTCACTTAGACCTGAAGTTTCCACCCATGAACATTTCCACCAGAGTCTTGGCTGGTTCCCTCCCCTAACCCTCAGTATTACCGTGAAGATCAAATCACAGGAGCTGATGGATGTGGCAGCATCCGAAAGCTTTGAAGAACTATCTAAATGTAAAGGATGATTAATAATCACCTTGTCCTGTATTTTAACACACAATACATTCCTCAGGAAAAGAGCTGATGTTAGAAGAAAGGAACCAAAAGCCCATCATTCCATGCCGAATGGGTCTCTGGCTGCTGTCATAGCAAAAAGTGGAATGGAATTTTAATGGTACCTGAAAGCTGCCGCCAAGGTAGAAGACAAATGGCTAAATTTATATTATATTTCTGTCTCTGGAGTGGAGTTTGAAGAAACAGTCCTGTATCAGTGAGTTGCCATTTGGCTGTGACTCACAAAGAGATGAAAAGATAGTCTGGAGGAATTGTTCCAAAATACACTGACTGTGGGGACACAGAGTTCTTTCCTGCCTCTGATCAGGCCAGGAGGGCTTTGGAGGCCTGAGAAGGAGCCTGGATAGGAAAGGAGCTGCTCACAGACAGAGGTGAGACTCTAATGTGCAGGACCCCAGGGGTCCTTTGGTGGGGGAAGGATGCTTTCCCAGGCATGGTCTGCTTCATTTCCACAAGCGACACCTCTGCTTTCCTTTTCTTTTTGAAAAAGTGATAAATATTTCTCAGAAAAATCTAAACATGATAGATACAGGTGGTATTTAGGATACAACCTTTCACAGTCTTCTCACAAAGGGAAAATATTGTTAAACCAGTGTTTGGGTTGGTTTTGCAGGTTTCCTTCAATGTGTAGAATTCTTTCTCAGTCATCATCCACCCATCCACATTCACTTGTTAATTATCCACTTATTACTCATCCATCCACCACCATGCCCATCTATCTCCCACCCAAATACTATACAGCTTTTGTCTAGTTTGCTTTTTTCTAAATTACAATCTCCTCTCAACCTTTAGTAGTGGGGATTGACCCCAGGGCCTTATGCATGTTAGGGAAGCACTCTACCATTGAACTACAAACCTGTCCCTATCAACCTTGAGTACATCCCTTTGTTACTGTGTGTGGATTGGTTTTATTCATTTAGGGTGTGCTTAAAATATTTCACTGTAATTTATTGTCCTCTTATTGATAAACATTTGGCCTACTCACTGTTTCTACAGCCATAAAAATTCTGAAATAAATGTGTAAGTATATCACAAAATCTATGAACTTTTGAATGTTTCTGCTGGCTAATTTCTAAGAAATAGAATCATGAATAAAAAATATGAACATTTTGAATTTTGGTAGCTATTATCAGATGGTTCTGTAAATTCAACCTCTACCAGCAGAGATTGAGAGCGTTGGTTTTCTTATGCCTCAGCACTCTAGGTCACCTTGTTAGAAACTTTAGCATTAGATGGAAAATGACATTTTGCTTCTTTTAGGTCTAGGTCTAAGCGTCATGAGACCATGTCACTGTTTCTTTTTCTCCTGTCATTATACTTATTGGCTGTTTTTCTTTGTATTTCCTTTGCACTATCCCTCTCCTGCCTTCTCTCTGGCTTCTTTTTCCATTAACAACTCTACCCACTGCCCAGGACCTGTGTTGTAAATGGTCCTCCTTTGGTTTTCTTTATATTCCTTGTAATTTTTGTTTTGGGGCTGCTTTAAAATTTTTTACACCCTTAAAATTGTCAATCTTTTCATCCCCAGATTCTGAGGTTTTAAGAAAAGCTACAAAATGCCTTTGTTTATCGTCATAAAAGCATTCATCCAAGCCCTCTTCTAGTGCTTTTGTGGTTTTCCTGTTTTAACATTTAAATATTTGAGCCATCTGAAGTACACTTTTATCAAAGGAGAGGGGGAACCTGCTTTACTTTTTCTCCAAATGTCTAGCTGGTTGTTCAGCACTGAAGAAATCATGCTGTTGGGCACCAGAATTATCCATCACTGTGGAAGAGAGGAAGGCTTGCATACAGGGGCACTACTGGAGACCAATGCTTTGGGCTGCTCTCTGTCCCCTCCAGATTCAGATGTTGACTCCCAATCCTCAGCATCTCAGAAAACAACTGCATTTTGAGAGAGGACCTTTAAAGGGGAATTCAGTTAAAATGAAGCTGTTAAAGTAAGCCCAAATCCAATCTTACTGGTGAAGAAAAGGTTTGAACACATACAAAAGACAATAAGGCCTCAGGAAGAAAGGCCACATGAGGATACAGTGAGGAGGTAGTCATGGCAAGCAAGAAGAAATCGCAGAAGAAACCAGACCGACCTACACCTTAATTTGAGATTCTAGCTTTAGATCTATGAGAACTTGAGTTTCTGTTGCTTAAGCTACCCAGCTTGTGGTATTTTATTTGATGGTCTTAGCAGAGGAATGTATAGGCACACCTCCTAGTTATTAGCAGATTTGTCTATCCCAAATAGTCCCTGGAGACTGAGCAGCAGTTCCAGCTCGGGTTGTCCAGTGAGCCCATGGTGTCTCAGAAAGAAATCCACTCTTGGCGTTAAAGGGTGTGGCAGATTGTTGCTAGTTGTCTCTTCTCTAACTTTCCTATCCTTGGCTTTTCTAGGCTCACAGCAGCTAGTCACACTAAAGCCTCCAGCTTCCCTTTGTGGAAATGTGGATGTGGGAGGAGATCTGGGTCAAGATTTCACCGGTGTATGTGCTTTGATTCTGTGTTCTTCTTCCTGACCTGCTGTGGAGTTCACAAGAACATGTGAGCCATGTGCACAAGAGTCCCATGCTGAGCACCAGGACACAGTATAATCAGACATGCCATAATAACCTGTATACGTGTCACACATGGCAAGTAACTGCATCTCATATCATGCTTGAAGCGTGGACACACACACACACACACACACGCACACAGTGTGTGTGCATATGCAGCTGAACCTTATCTGAAGACCTCTGTCTGTTACTTATGTAGTCCTGGCTGTTTTCTGTCTTAGAACTATGAGTATTTTTCTTTCTGAGTGGTTTGGGTTCTTCACTTTATTCCCAGATTACTTTACACAGGGAATGGCGGAAGAGGCTGAGCACTATGCCCACCACATCAAAACTATTAAATTGCCAACTCCTGAGCCTACTTCTGTGTTATGGTTTGAATGGGAAATGTCCCCACAGGTTCATTCTGAAGTCTGTGGAGCTTTAGGAGGTAGGGCCTAGATGTCAGAAGGTTACTAGTTGTCATTGAAGGTTATACCCTCCTCTGCTTCTAGCCATGTTCACCCTGCTTCCTGATTTATGCCCCCATGTGTGATTTGAAAGAGAAATATGCCCTGTAGGTTCATGTGCTTGAACACTAGGTCCCCAGTTGATGTCACTATTTGGGGAGGTTATGGAACTTTTAGGACATGGAGTCTTGCTGGATGAAGTATGCCCCTGGAGATAGGCTTTGGGAGTTGATAGCCTCACCCCACTTCCACTTCACTCTTTCTGTTTCCTGGTATGTCAGCGAAATCTGATCAGCCAGCTTTGCTCTGGCCAGTTGCCATGCCATCCCTGCCCTTATGTACTCCAAACCTCTGAATCCATAAGCCAAAATAAACTTTCTTCCTTAAGTTGCTTTTGATCATGGCATTTTATCACAGCAACAGAGAAGGAACTAATTCACTATATGAACAGATTTTCTACCTCATGTTCCCACCATCATGGACATAGCTGTTCTATATGGCCTCCATGTCATGACAAGTGGAAATCCCTTTGAATCCATGAGTCAAGTATCTTGGTCACAGAGATGTAAAAGTAACCAATCTACCTCATATCTAACAATCAGAATTGTTTTTTTTTTTTCTGGTACTGAATATTGAACCCGGGGGCCGTGTGCACACCAGGCAAGTACTCTACCACTGAGCTATGCCCACACCTCTATGAATCATAATTTTAAGCTCTGTATCTCATTTTTAGACATATTAAAAGTTTATAACTCCTGTTTAAAGGATTCCACTCCTAACAGAAGTCTAGCTCCTTTAGTGTCAATCAGTTTGCTTTCTTTTTTAAAAAAATATTTTATTATTTTTATTTTATGTGTATGAATGCATTGCTTGCATGCATGTAAATGCATCAATGTTGTGCAGTACCTGTGGATGTCAGAAGAGGGCATCAGATCCCCCGGAACTGGAGTTATGGACAGTTTTTGCTGCCATGTGGGTGATGGGAATCGAACCTGGGTCCTCTGTAAGAGCAGTCAGTGCTCTTAACCACTGAGCTATCTCTTCAGCCCCCAGTTTGCTTTTTTTTTTAAAGTATTTTTTTATTATTTTTATTTTATATGTATGAGTGAATTGCCTGCATGTATGTAAGGGTACCCATGTCGTATACTGCCCTTGAAGGTCAGAAGAAAGTGTCAGATAACCTGGAACTGGAGTTACAGAGGGTTGTTAGCCTCCATGTGGGTGCTGGGAATTGAACCTGGGTCCTCTGCAAGAGGGTGCTCTTAACTGCTGAGCTCTCTCTCCAGCCCCAGTTTGCTTTCTTAAAATCAATCACTGCAGCGTGAAAGTTTGACAAGCGCTCAGGCTTTCTAACCCCTAATCTTTCAAGAATGTTTCCTTATGAACCAGACAGTGGCTCTGGTTAATGAGATCCAGGCAGTGCTGTGGGGTGAATGTGGATTGGTGGACACACATCTATTGGAAATTTAATTAGCTGGTCTCAGGAAAATCTTTACCAAGAAGTTTTGCTCTGGTGGCCCATTTTTCTTCTGTCCTCTGCTTCCCCTGCTTTAGGGGTAAGGCCCAAATTACCGTTTGTTATCCTCAAACCCATACCTTACTCTAGTTTGCTTTTCTACTCCATACTTGCTTCTTGAGACTTTGGGGACCCTGCCGGTAGCAGTTTGTGTTCATTGACTCCATTGCCAGAGGTCATTCACACCAAGAGAGGAATGGCTATCCAGATAGGGTCTGGTTGGTGGGATTAGGGTGGAGGTGTTAGAAGAAGCTTTGCACCATAATTTTGCCCAAGAATCCTGAAGTCAGTTTCAGTGTCGGCTTCCAAACCCTGACTGCTCAGCCCTGGCCTTTCCCAACTTGGCAAACAAAATCAAATAAAAACTGCTTCTGATAGACTGGCAAAGCCATCTACCAACCCCAATGGCAGGGGCTTCCTCTGAGGGTTTTGTCTGGAATGGGTGGGGAGAGGGGCTGTTGGGGGCAAAAGACCAGTATCTAAGCTGGTTTGTGTATGTAATCCACACTCTACACTGCCAATGTTGCTGGCAGGAAAAGGAATCCACTTGCCAGCCTGCGATTCCCTGAGCCATATCAGGCAATCCCCATCATGCACCTTTTCTTCCCTTGTGGTCCCAGCTCCATCTCCAGCTTGACTGTCCCGAGGCTGCAGTTCCAGCACTGTGCGGAAGAGCTTTTCTGATGTCTGGGTCAGGAAGCCGATCTCCGCATTGGGGTGGAGGCCATAAAGGTAGGGCGACTCTGGGGGCAGCTCGGTATCGATGTACTGAAACCAAGGGCAAGCTAGATTAAACAGCAACAAACATGGCTCTCATCCTCTGTAAGGTCCTCCAAGGGACACGGCTCCACACCCCTGGTGGTGGACATCAGCATATTTCACCCACACGGCACAGATTTTCCCTAGCCGGTTCCTGGCATCATCTGCTTCAGACACCCATGTTCACTATACCCATCTCTTTCGGGGAAGCTTGGATGAGAGCCACCTCCATCCCATGTCTTCCCATTCTGATACACTCTCACCTGGCAAGACTTATCATAGTCTTTCAACCCACAAATTTATCCCTGTCATTATTTTTACTATGTGTATGAGTGCTTTGCCTACATGTGTGTAAATGCACCCATGTTATACAATGTCCATGAAGGTCAGAAAAGGGTGTTAGATGCCCAGAAACTGGAGTTACAGATTGGTGTTAGCTGCCATTTGGGTGCTGGGAACTAAACTCTCATCCTCTGGAAGAGCAGCCAGTACTCTTAACTGCTGAGCCAGCTCTCCAGCCCCATCCTTAGTATTTTAATTCAGTCTCTTTTAGGATCCCAACCTTCTCCCTCTTAAATTAACTTCCTCTCTCCTCTGTTTACCTAATTCATGGATAAAAACTTAAACACATACACAGAACTGTGCATACAAAATAATGTGCCTTTGGGCTGTAGGAAGCAGTAAGCTTGACTACAGACTGCAGGGTTCACACACCTGAGGAAAGGCGTTGGAATTAAGCATTTTAAACACTCTGCTACCCGAGCCACCGTCTCTGGCTAATTCTGGTGAAAGCAGTTTGTTGGCCTGAAAAATCTTGTCCAGCTTGTAAGTAGGGGTCACTTTCTTCTCTGAATATTTTATATAACCCGTTACAGTTTTTTTTTTTTTTGATGGTAAGTAGCTGCCCTCTTGAGTTAAGTTCCTAATGGGGCTTTCATGATTTCTTGGTGTTATTACCAACTAGACTAAGGACATATTGCTCATTTGTTAAAGGCAAGTTGCATTCCTGCCTTGTATTTCGTCCCCTACATTCCTGGGCCCTTGCCAAGTGGAATATAAACCTCTAATCTGGCAGATGCCAGGGAAGTATGAAGCATGGAAAGTCTACCTCAGTCCTTTGGGCATGTCCAAACTGTGTTTTTGTGGGATTTGAGGGCCAAGCCGCCTTAAGGATGCTGCTCTGGCGAGTAAACTGTCCTACAGACACCAGGGGATGCTCTTGCACTATCTTCCTGAGCAAAGTCTTTCAAGGTACTTAGAAATTCCCTATTTCTCATAAAGAGTCTCATTGTTTTAAATGTCTTAAGTATGATTGTTCTGGACCAACTTACTTTTGGGATTATGATTGTTAAGTTTTATGAATTAAAAGTTTTAAGTTTCCAAGACAACAATTTCCCTTAAGTTTGGCATAAAGTTTTAGTTTTTTCACATGTAAACAAACCACACATAAATAAATCAATCAGGGATGACAAACTGAAACACATACACAGAACCATACATACACATATAAATATGTGTATAACGTAAACAAACGTAAACCACACATAAAGTGTTAGTTATTTTACACATGCTTAAATGTCTAAAAATCAATTCCCCCCCGCCCCCAAATGATCTTTTGGTATATTTCTCATGGCAGGTTAAACAGAAAGTGGAAGGCTTTAAAAATAACCACAGCAATAATACACAAGAAACTGAAATGATAGTAATAAAATCTGGGTGAGAATGTTTTTCTTTTATGTGGGTATACATGCCTGTGTCCACTAAAACAGGAAACAGGAGGAGTGAATGGTCTGGTCAGAAGCTTATTTCCTTCGAAGGTACGGACAAATATTATGCCAAGTTTTCTAAATTCTCACTTGAAGCATTTCCCCATTAATACTGGGTTTATCAATATCTTGAATAAAAGCAAGTACATAATTGTCTTAGATGTTATTTGTAGAAAAAAATCAACAAACAGAATTATGGAATCAAAGAACAAGAATAAAAAGATCTCTACAGGGTCAGTTTTATCATAAATTTGAGGCTAGAAATTCTGAACCTTTTAGGTTGAGCAGAGCAAGCTTGGGGCAGAGAAGCAAAATTGAAATAAGGTCATTGTTCCCTGGCCGCAGCCTGAAGCTGGAAGGTTTGTACCAATACTCAGGATGGATGGGAGGAATACCCAAGCCCCTGTGAAACCATCACATCATCTCAAGCACTGAGCATCTTACCCGATGGTAACTGCTGTAGTCCATGTTGCCTGGGAGTGGGAACCCCGGGGCCAGGGAGAGCTCCCCTTCCACCATTTCTGGCTTGATGAATTCTTCCAGATAGGTTCTGCAGAGCCTCCTGTCCCAGTCGTCTGTGATATGGCCTCCATACATGATCTCACCAAACAGGTAGCGCAAGTCATCATAGGGCACCTGAGATGGGGTGAGAGAGCAGGAAAGAATGATCTCCGCACCAGCCTAGGTACTGGACTTGTCAGGATGGATGCTTCTTGAGATAAAGAGCAATGTCTTATTGACCCTTGTGCTCCCAGTGCCTGGCAGCATTAGGCATGTTTGAAGAGAAGGCTAAATGCTTGGAAAATTATATCAGAGGGTGAGGGTATGGCAAGATAACAGCCCCTTGCACATATGCTAGCCCTTTTCCATGCCATTGACTGACAATGAAGTTGGGCTCTTCCTAGAAGGCTTTTAAATATGCAGATGTCAAAGGGAAGGAAGCTCTGAATCCCTAGCTGATCAAGTTGGGACCTTGCATCAGGTGAGTGTGGTCCCTTCCTGCCAATCCACGGCCCTTAGCCACACTGTGAATAAATCCAGGTGGTCTGGGGTGGTCTTTGGATGGATTTTCATGGGGCTGACAGTTTGGGTTCCTGTGCTCCCTTGGCTCTGCTCTCACGGCAATACTCCTCAGGCTCAGGCAGATCCTAGGGTTGGTGCTTCCTCATCTCACTGTGTAGGGTCATAGACCTTCCCCAGGTCACATTCCCCTTCCATATGAGAAGGCCACACCACAATGACCTGCGTTTGCCCCCTTTGCTTTACCTTTGCATTAGCCTCCAGGAAATTGTAGAGCACATTTACTGAGATAGTGAGGTCCCCAACGTTAAAAGGGTAGGACCGATTCCATCCCTGTGGCCCAAACTTCCGTCTTTCTGCCACCACAGCATGAAAGTAACAAAGAACAAAGAGGATGCTCTTGAACTCCGTCTCCCGGGAACACATCTCCAGAGTGTCCTGAAAGGGAAGTATCACTCACAATGTTGACAGTTTCCCTTACCTGAGATAAGTTAGGGTGTGGTTAAGATCAGGGTTCATCCTCAGTGAAGTTACCTTAAATCATGGTTAGAGTTTGCTGTACAGGATTGCACTGAGATGAAGTGAGGTAAGGTCGAGGGGGTGGTGGTGGTCAGGTAAGGTTTAGATTCAGGCTACAGTGGGTTTGGTCTACGGTTCAAGTTTGTACACATGATGCATTAATTAGGTTCCCCAGCACAGCTAAGGACAGCAGCAGAGGATTTGTGGGTGGGAGTGTCTTGCTTGCTCTATTAATGTCACTGTGTTCCAGATAGGTGAGACTTCTATAACCTCACCTCAAAACTGCCATGCTTTTCTTGCTCATCATAGAATAAGAATGTGCCATTGCCATCTCTGTGATGAGGAGCCCCTGACTTCTCTAGAGGAGGGGCTGAAATAAGGGAGAAGATGGGAACCAGACCCACAATATTGGGGGTGCTGTGCCCTCCATGCTCCTTACTGCCCCCTAAACCTCAGCAAGAGTGATCAGACACGAAGCTGAGGAAACGGTATGGAGGGGTCATGACTGCACAGCATGAGGCAGGGGCAAAAATGGGGCCCATTAGGAAGGGAAGACAGAAACAACAGATGGAAGGAGATATAGAGACCGGGTAGAAGAAGCCATTGAAGTTGTCCTTGGTGGACTTTAAGGGGGATGGTGGTGATGCCAGACAGGGGTAATCTTGCATTTTGAAGGGACTGTAGGGTGGGAATTCCTGAATCCTTTGGAATTAAAAATATTAATTTTCTCTGAATGAGGCTCTTTTTGTTGAGTTTGGAGCAAGACGTGTTAGTTGGAGTTCAAGAAGGCTTTCTCAGGTCTCCCACTTTTAGACTGGTTCAGTCCTGACACTCCTAGGAATCACTCTTAAACTGTGTGCTCACAGGGCAAGAGTCACAGAGGAGACCAGAGAGCACAAGCTTCTGGTGGCTCTGATGTTCCTACAGAGAAACTCTCCCTGGACACGTGGCATTGCTGGGTGCCATACTTTTCACAGGGGCATCATTGTGGAAGGTCAGAGGTGATGTGGAGGGTAGAGCTTTGTGCAAGCAAGAATATGACACCTGCTTTCAGGATAAAGCTATTCTCTGTATAAGATGCTTCATTTGTTGCTTTTTTGTTTGTTTGTTTTTGAGACAGGACTCCATGTACCCCGGCTGGTCTGGAACTCCCTATGTAGACCAGGCTGGCCTCGATTTCACAGAGATCCCCCTGTCTCTCCCTCCCGAGTGCTGGGACTAAAGGCACATACCATAATGCTTGAACATTCACTTATGACTTCTTACACATTTGAAATAAACAGACGTTGGGGAAAAATGCCTTTAAGCATAAATACCATTAATGCTCGAATGAACTGACAGTGATACATTCACATAAAAGTCAGAATAAAATCATCACATCCAAATCTCACCACTATTAGGAAGCAGGAAAAAAAAAAGGAGATCAGCTCTGCAGTTCTTCCCCTAAATGGTTATATGAGCCTCTGAGGGAACAGGGTAAATATTATACAGGCCTCTGCTGTAAATAAGGAGCAGCGTCATGTATCTGTCTCTCTTAGAATGAGTTACTTAAGGTGGCTGTAAATGGTGAATGAAGCTTCTGTGGCAGGGACAGAATAATTGGGAGAGAGAGCATTTCTTGGGATATTTCCCCACTTGTGCAGTGTCCAGGACTGGACTAAAGAGCACAAGGAGGGAAGCCCAGAAACAACAGTTGTGGGGTGGCTGAGAAGAGGAAGCCAGGTACAGGCATGGGTGAGCTTCTGTTGTTAAGAGGTATGGCAGGTAAGGATCCAAGACTCTCAAGGCAGGACAGCTGAGAACGGTTTGCTGGTGAGGCCTCAGGTAGAGCTAGCTAAGCATATCCCAATGCCTTCTTCCTCTGCCAACCTCTCCTGCTCCACCCCCATTTCCATCCTTGCCTCCCTCTCTTCCCTCCTTCCCTTCTCAGCACTGGGGAGCCAACCCAGAATCTTGATCACACTAGGTAAATACCCTACGATTGGGCTGCATCCCCAGCTTCTAAATTTTTAAAAACAGATTTTGGTAAAATAGAAAAAACATAAAATTTCCTAGCTTAACTATTTTAAATATATTGTTCAGTGGCATTATCTGCACAGCCTCTCCCCCCCCCGCCCTGCTGCCTAACACAACCTTTTAGGGCAGAGCTTCTCTTTTTGGCTGTAGACTAGAAACTAGGCTGAGCTAGTCCCCGTACACGGACTCAAAGCTAGAAAATTTAGAAGTTTGACCTCTGCAGTTGGTACAGCATATCTTGGAGTTTAGTTAAGGCCTACTTAGGGGGGGGGCGCAAAAAAACAAAAAACAAAAAACAAAGAAAATGTCCTTGGCAAGGGGAGTGCCCCACTTTTGCCTCATATTGCAATAGGCGGGATATTTCTTAACAAAAACTTCAAGCTAAAATACCCTGAATTTCATTGTAATGTGCCCCCATTCTCTGTCAGATGATGTTAGGTTTGGGAGCTGGGATAGGAAGGAAGGGTATGGAAAAGGAGACTGGACAGGCTTTCTTCTCAGATTCTCATGGAAGCTTTCCTCTTCAGGTTGGACTATGGGACTTACATGCTTAAACTATACATGAATGTATAGTGCAGTCATTAACGTCTTTACAGACTGCCACACTGTCCTCATCGTATTGTGAGTTAAACCTGAAGTGCCCGCAGCTCTGGTGGTCAGTATGGGCTAGCTGTACACTCACTGTGTGGGATGGTCCATCTTCAGTTCTTGGGTGAGATGCATGTTAGCAAAGCTCTGGAAACCAGACTCATTGATACTATTGTAATGTGACATCAGAGAGGAAACCTCTCCTGGCATTTCTGGAAACTTCTCCACAGATACCAATAAGGCTCAGTGAGGATGGACTTCAAGGTGGACTCTTGCGCTGACCCTCCTGTGACTGATACCTTTGTGTACTCCCCTTCCCAGGAAGCTGTGACTTCCCAAGGGAGAAACAGCAAGAAATGTGCTTCCCTGAGAAGACAGAGGAGGCCAGAGCTGCAAGCATGACACATAAGGGTTCAGCCACCTAGGCCTGGCCTTGGCGTTTTTACAAAAATTGTTTTAGTTAGCATACAAAATAATAGGTCTCATTTTGACATTTTCATACACATATATCAATGTATTTTTCTCATATTCACCTACTTCTCTACCCTCTCCAGTTATCTCCTGTCCCCTCACTGGACCCTTTCCTCCCCTCTGCTCTCCTTACATATATATTGCAAGTATATATATACACACACATATATATTGCAAGTATATATATATATAGCATATATATTTCTATTGCATATGAAATAAAACATACAATATTTGTTTTTCCATTATTTCCCTCTCTTTCTTCCATTTTCCCTCTCTTCAGTCTCCCTCCTACCCCCATGGAGTCCTTTTTTTACTTTTATATCATATATATATATATTTTTTTTTCTAGAGCAGGCTTTAAATAAATCCCCCACAATA